TTTTAGAGGCAGGGTCTCACTATGTTGCCCAGGCTGGACTCAAACTCCTGGGTTTAAGCGATCTTCCTGCCTCAGCCTCTGGGTAGCTGGGATAACTGTTTTTAAGTGTACAATTCAGTGGCATTAATTATATTCATTATGTTGTACAATGATCGCCATGTATTTCCAAAACTTTTTTACCACCCTAAACAAAAACTCTGTAAGAATTAAACAATAACTCCTCATTCCCTCCTCTCCCCAGCCCCTGGTAATCTCTATTCTACTTTCTGTCTCTATTAATTTGCCTATTCTAGGTACCTCACATAAGTGAAATCATACAATATTTGTCCTTTTGTGTCGAGCTTTTATCACTTAGCATAGCACAATGTTTTTAATGCTCATCCATGTTGTACTATATGTCAGAATTTCATTTCTTTTTATATTTTCCATTTTTAGTATATATTACAAGTTTGCTTATCCACTCATTTTGTTATGGACACTTGGGTTGTTTCCACCTTTTGCCTATCATGAAAAAAAGCTGCAATAAACATTGGCATACAAATATCTGAGTCCCTGCTTTCAGTTTCTTAGGGTATATACCTAGAAGTTAGAATAGCTGGATCCTATGGTAATTCTATGAATAGCTCTTTGAGAAACTGCCAAACTGTTTTCCATAGTGCCTGTACCACTTGCATTTTTTACCAGGAATGTATGAAGGTTCCAATTTCTCCACATCCTCAATATTGACACTCGTTATTTTCCACTGTATTGATAAATAGCCATCCAAATGGGTATGAAGTGGTATTTCATTGTGGTTTTGATTTACACTAAAGATTAGTGATATTAAGCATCTTTTCATGTGCTTATTGTCCATTTGGAATACTTTCTTTGGAGAAATGTTTTCAAATCCTTTGTTCATTTTTGAATTGCCATTTTTTTGTGTGTGTTGTTGTGTTGTAGGAGTTATTTATATGTTCTGTATATTAATCCCTTATCTGATATGTGATTTGTGAATATTTTCTCCCATTCTGTAGATTGTCTCTTTACTCTTAATAGTGCTATTTGATGCATAAAAGTTTTTAATTTTGATGAAATCCAATTTATCTATCCCTTCATTGCCTGTGCTTTTGGTGGTGTAGCCAAGAAATCATTGCTAAATTTAATGTCATGATTCTTCCCTATGTTTTCTTCTAAGAATTTTACAGTTTTAGCTCTTTGGTTTAGGTCTTTGATCTACTTTTTAGTTAATTTTTTAGTTAGTTTTTGTCTATGGTTTGAGGTAAAGGTCTAAATTCATTTGTTTGCAGGTGGATACCCAGCTTTTCCAGAACAATTTTTTGAAAAAACTATCTTTTCCCCATTGGAAGGTCTTGGCACCTTTATCAAAAATCAATTGGCCATGTATGTGAGGGTTTATTCCTGGATTCTCTATGCTATCCCATGTGTTTATGTGTCTGTCCTTATGCCAGTACCACTGTTTTGATTACTGTAGTCATGATGTGTAAGCCATTTAATATGCTGCTGAAATCAGCTTGCTGGCATTCTGTTGAGTATTTTTGTTTCTATATTCCTAAGGATATTTATTGGTCTCTAGTTTTCTTTTAGTGTCTTTGTCTGATTTTGGTACCAGAGTAATGCTGGCCTTCTAAAATGAATTAGGAAGTAAGTATTCCCTCCTCTTCAATATTTTGGGGAAGTTTGAAAAAATTAGCATTAATTCTCTTTTAAATGTTTGGTAGAATTCTTTGTGGCTTAAAAAATATAGAGGTTGGTTTCTCTTTCCACATGGCAGTCTTGGGGTGGCCCACTGGGACCAATCTGCCTCTTGTGGTCAAACAGGAACCCAGTTTTCTTTTCTTTATTCTTTTTTTTTTTTTCTTGCTGAACTAAAACAAACAATGGAACCCAGTTTCTTTTCAGCTGTATCTGTGCCACCCCCTCAGACTTACTAACCACTAATTAAACCTGCTGTTGTTTCCGTAGAGACTCCTTGTTTAATCTAATATTATATAATCAGGAAGGGTTGGGGGTCAGCACCCCTAGTCCCCATGCTGTTCAGGAGTCAACTGTATTTTGGAAGTCTGGATCTAGTAGAATACATGCAGCGCCCAGGAGAGAGTTTGGTGAAAACACTGGTAAATTTCAGTCAATTTTAGCTTTCTGAAAATTGTCACTACCATCTCCTGTCCCTCACGCCTATGACAGGCACCTGTGGGGAAGGCAGCCAGCATTCTTGGTGTGGCAGTAAAAAAAGTTGTTAATTTCAATACACCTTTGCCAATACTTTTTTAAAAAATAAAATAGTTCTATATTATCATGTGCTTTAATTATATTTTCACCAAAACAGTGGAGTTACAGATTTAGATAACTGGAAAAAATGGAAAACATCCCCCATGCAGCCTAATTACCAGTCTGTCTAAACAATTAGCTAAATTAGCCTTACTTTCTGCCATTAAAAAAAAAAAATCTAACTTCATTTTACAATTAAAATATGCTGCTAGCACATTGTGAATAGTAGTATAAAAACCACTGAGAAATAAATAATGCAACAAATCTTGTAAAAGCAGTTAAGATTAAAATGATGGTGTGCTAATACGATTAAAATTTTCATTATGTAAATTTTTCTTATTTATGCAATAAAATACACGTAGCCACAATTTTAAGTTATTCATGAAGCAACGATGCTAAAAAGAATGGTGTTCCTGGCCGGGCGAGGTGGCTCACACCTGTAATCCTAGCACTCTGGGAGGCCCAAGGCGGGTGGATCGCTCAAGGTCAGGAGTTCGAAACCAGCCTGAGCAAGACCCCGTCTCTACTAAAAATAGAAAGAAACTAATCGAGCAACTAAAAATATATATACAAAAAATTAGCTGGGCATGGTGGCGCATGCCTGTAGTCCCAGCTACTCGGGAGGCTGAGGCAGAAGGATTGCTTGAGCCCAGGAGTTTGAGGTTGCTGTGAGCTAGGCTGATGCCACAGCACTCACTCTAGCCTGAGCAACAAAGTGAGACTCTGTCTCAAAAAAAAAAAAAAGAATGGTGTTCTTTTGGTAAATGTGTACATATGTGTACTGAATGCTGGTGTTCAGTAATAATTAAATAAAAATGATGTATAAAATTCAGAAATAATTCCATTAGTTTTATTGGACATACTGATAAAACTTTTCCCGATGTATTTAATGAAAAGGTATGGACTGCTAAAAGTTAATTGGTTTGGTATGTAGCAAAAATTTTATTTTTCAGCTAATATGAAATAGAAGATACTATTTTGAAAAATGAAATACATTCAAGATTGTAACCGGAACATTTTACATGCTTTGATATTTTACATGCTTTGATAAGTATAGTTTTTTAAAATCTTCTCATTTAAGACATACCAAATCTAAAATAAATCATGTAAAAAATTACTGCAAGTTTTATCTAGCAAAACTTGAAAACTGTGGTTGTCTCAGAAAGCCTTCCAGTGACTGGCCTGTGCTGTCTGGTTGTCCAGTGGTCATTTTCTAATCAGCTACTGACACATCCTGAGGAATATTCTTGAGAGTAGCTGAAAAGAATTGCTTATGTTAAATACATGAAAAAAAAAAATCCCAACAAGGGCCAACATCTCCCATTCCTAATGCTACAATTTATCCTTAGCACAACATTAAGACCAAAAAACATGGGAAGTTCTGGGGTGGGAGTATGGTGCCTTGATTAAGCATCCCAATAAGGAATTCCCCAAAATATTTCAATTATCCGTTTGTGTGGAGCCCTGGAGGTTTTTACACTCCTGGTCAATGCACCTTAGTAAGATTTAGATGGGTGAGAGTGCACTCTCACCCTGCCTTGGCCTCCCAGAGTGCTAGGATTACAGGCGTGAGCCACCATGCCCGGCATACTTATTGTTTTTCTATAATTGCTTTTTCCTTTCTGTTTTCCATTACCTCTCACCTGTTTCTCTGTCCCTAACAGCACTCCTTTACATCAACATGTTGATTCTTTGCTTATCTAACAAGTCACAGAGCAGGGAGCAGAGTTGAGGCCATTAAGGATTGTGTTTTGATTATCCAGCACAACGGTTCTCAGATGACAACAGACTAATCTGGGAAGACTAATACAGATGACTGGGTCCTCCTACCCCCCTCCCATTCTCACTGAATTGGTCTGGGGTGGGGGGTCAGGCATCACTAACTTTAACAAATAACTTGGTGAATCTAACCTGCACCTGGAGTTGAGACGCAAGAGCAGAAGAACCAGGTTAGAGGGAGGAAGTGTTCCAGGCAATGCTACATTTGAGAGATCCTTTGGATTTCAGGGCAGCATGAAGGCTTTGAACACTCAGAAAGGGGCCTGGAGTAGAAGACATGCAAGGGATGGGGAAGGGAAGGTGCTGAAACTGTATTTAATCTACTTATGATAAGGGCTGCCCTTCTTGGTTTTGCCATTCCTCTCCTACCTAATTTCAGAAATATACAATTCAATGCTGACCATATCATTTCATTGTTCATACTCAGTATGCATGGGGTTCCCCCCCCCTTTTTTTCCTGAGTATTTTCAGAGCAAATCTTTCTCCTTCTCTGGTAGCTTATCTTGTAAAGACCTATGGTTATTGGCTTTCTGTGTATCTACCACTATGGTTTCCTGGAAGTTCCAAGCACAAGGATTTGTGGGTGCGGCTTGGTGCATTCCCAAGCATTTCCTCTGTTTTGTCAACAAGGAAGTCCCCACAGCTGTGGTGGTAACTTCCAACAGACCTAAAGGCCCTGGGGAATTCATGGCTAGAGATTCTCACTGATAAATGACCACCACTCCCAGCTCCCACCTTAAGAATCTGAGTTATTCATTAATGAATCTAAAAAGGAAAAAAAAAAACAATAACCCGTTGTCTCCTTCTCTCCTGATTCCATATGAAATATCAACATGCCTCAGACAGAACAGTATAATAATTGTGCAGCTCAAGGACACAATGGGAACACTTAGTGCTGCTTGTCAAATAATCCAGGGAAACTGTGGGTGAATCTTTGTCATCTGATAACAACCAGAAACTTCTTAAAATGCAAGTTTCTGACTTTGTATCATTAAGAGCTCTGGTTCATGAACAGAGATGAATCAGGAATACAGCAGAAAAGAATACCAAGCCAATGTTCCAATCTAAAACTCAGCTATGTCAAACATTTCAAAATTACCAACCAGATGGTTCAAGAGTTTGCCTGGCCACTCATATTGCCCAACTATTAACCTTTCTATCAAGGGCTTCTCTAATTGCTTTAGACTTTTTGATTACTGATGACCTTCCCTTTATCTCTAATCCAGAGGTCATTAAAATCCCCACAGAGTTTTTAAAAAATACAGATGTTCAGGTCTTGACCTTCACAACTTGAAGTCTAAGATTAGGGCCCGGTATTCATACATTTTAAAAAACATCTACTGGGGATTCTGAAGTGATCTCCTGGTTAAAAATTCCTTCATAGTCCATTGATCGCTCACTTCTAAGTGGTTCAACCTCAATTCCCCATCCTAAATTCACTCTATTACTGAACAAGCTAGTTCTAAGTCTTTAAGGAAGGCAAATACTAACCGAAACGAATGTTTTCAATTATGATGGAAACTTTTAAGTGAGGAAATTTATTTGTGATTAACCAAAGCAACTGGTTATTCTTCGAAATAATAAAAACAGGGATTCTTTTTTCTTTTACAAATTAAGTTTAATTGATCATTCAGCTTCAGAAATAAAAATAACTCCTAAAATGAGAATATAAATATGTTTGTTTTTAAGAGTTTATTTCCTTTCTTCATTTATTAGCAGATAGTACTGATCCATTCTCTTGCTGAATGTTGTAAAAAAAAAAAAAATGAAAAAATTTAGATAGATGAGTTAACCATACCCACCCTAAAACACCACAAATCCCCTGGTATCCTCAAAGGAAGAACAACTTCCTGGCTTTCCCTTAGTGTTTATGGCTGGAATATAGCACCTGCTTGAAAATAGAATAAAGAGTCAGAGATCATCTAAACACCACCCCAAAAGTGTTTGGCATTAAGCTCAAGGATTCAAATATTTCAGGAATCCGGAAACTACCAGCTACTTAATAATGGAGCAAATTAGGTGAAATTTATAGAAGTTGAAGGTTCTAAATCAGTCGGTGTAGGAAAAGTATCAAGCTACCAGACAGTTACGAATGGAAATACCACATTTCCAGCTCTTGGTAGAAATCTATAAAAACCTGAGGCTACAGACTGTAGGTAACAGGCACATCACTGCTTCTCTAGGAATACTGTAATTGCTGTTTGCAACTATTCCTGTTTGTTTATAAGCCATTTCCTGATCATGAAGGACTCAGATATAAAAAGAATTCCTGCTTTGTTCTCTACAAGCTCTCAACAAGATGGAAAAACGGAGGGGGGAGTTATATATAGTACATGGCAGCACAAGAAAAAAATGAATGAACACTCAGCAGATCTAGGCGTGGTAACAGGAGTACACGTAGCGTCCTGTCACGGAGCAGGGCTCGGACACAGAGCTTGACTCGGGACTTGTCAGGATACACTCTCCAATCCCAGGGGTGAACACGCACTGGACACTAGCTAAAATATCTACTAATTTCTACTACACAGAAGATAATATGAAGGTTCTGCAGTGAAAGAACTTACCTCCGCTGTTGTTGAGGATTAGTCCTTTCCTATTAACTCTGGCTTCTCCTTAACAGGTCATAAAACCAAAGGCATACAGAAGTCCTGCCTGGAGAGCTAGACGGATACTGGTTTCTGACTTGTCTCTAGTTATGAACGACTACTATAGAAACCTGTTTATTTAAAAACAGAGCCCTTATATGTGGCCAGTCATCTCTTGAGAACCTGTACTAACAAGCTTTAAATAAAAAAGCATGAGAACCTGGAATTAATAAATAATCCTAAAAAAACTCATTTTATGTAGTGACTCCATCTTTCTCTTTGGCAATTGAACTCACTTCCATGTGTCCTCAGGTCCCTACTCTGGAGGATAATTAAGGCATCAAAATCACTAATTGGACTATCAAGTCCTAAATAAAGAAGAAGTGACTATAAACTCTATTTTAAAAATTGTAAGTACTAAAGATCTTTTGGGTAGTCTGTTTGTAATCCCTGGCAGTTCCATCTCACAATATTAAATTCAACTGAAGATATGATAGTACTACTTAAGTTGAGCTAATCTTTGGAAAAGCAAGAAAATAAAACACTAGAATCCCAAGTACATTCCCCTAGTCTCCTAGGGATAATCACCTAAGCATAACAGAGCTGAAAATAATTTTTTTTTTAAATATCAAACTTTTTTTTTTTTTTTTACACCAATTTGTGGATTTTTTTTGCCTGGTCTTGTCTCTTAGGTATTTTGGATTTTCACATTTCTTTCACTTTCCTTCTGTCCCTAGATTTTCCTAATTTTACACTACTCACTACTCAAGTAATTTGCTTTGTTTAATCAAAGAAACAAACCAACCTAGTATTTCATTACATTTAGCTAAAAATTCAGAAATAAACCTATTTAGGAAGCATACTTTGTCACATACTATAGGAACTTCATTTCAGCTGTGTTACACTGCTAGCAGTTATTGAGCTACAAAATTCCTTTTTTTCCCCCTCTCTAACTTAATAAAGCTTGTCAAAGTTTCCAGGAAACAAACTGTGACTTGAGCTTTTATTGCGTTCTGATGGCATCAATGATTACAGAACCTCGGCATCACAGATCGCTCTCCCCATAGAGCGCAGAAGAGAATGCGGTGTAATCCAGGGCGCCAGGCACGCTGCCCGGGCCTGTGTAGGTGGGCATCCTCTTGATGCAGTACTGGGCCTGGTCCGGAGGCAGCTCCCGACGCAGCTCCTCTGCCAGGATATATGGCTGGAAAAAAGACATGTGTTTGCAAAGTCAGTTGCAGAAAACACCAGAACATAAACAGGTTTTTTTGTTTCCGTTTTTTTTTTTTTTTTTTTGAGACAGAGTCTTGCTCTGTCGCCCAGGCTAGAGTGCTGTGGCATCAGCCTAGCTCACGGCAACCTCAAACTCCTGGGCTCAAGTGATCCTCCTGCCTCAGCCTCCTGAGCAGCTGGGACTATAGACATGTACCACCTTGCCCAGCTAATTTTTTCTATTTTTAGTAGAGATGGGTCTTGCTCTGGCTCAAGCTGGTCTCAAACTCCTGGGCTCAGGTGATCTTTCTACCTCAGCCTCCTAGAGTGGTAGGATTACAGGTGTGAGCCACCGCACCCAGCCTATAAACAGTTTAATACTTGCACATTTCTTGCATTTGTTTAATGTTAAAAAAGGAGTAAAGGTTAGGGAGTCTATTGGGTATAGTACCAGATGACCAACCAAGAGTTTTACTTATAGAATCATATCTACAAAGTGACCTGGGTCAGCAGGAAATGTGATGTGCTTCATAAAGGCAAATGGAGCATTGTCATCAATATTTCTCAAACTGAGCCATAGTACAAGGATAAATATGACCTGAATTGTATACCAGAAAAGCAAAGGGATACTTGGTTTATATCATACACTGATCAAAACACATAGGGATTTTTTTTTTTCTTTTTGAGACAGAGTCTTGCTGTGTCCCTGGGCTAGAGTGCAATGGTATCATCATAACTCACTACAACCTCCAACTCCTGGGCTCAAGTGATCTTCCTGCCTCAGCCTCCCAAGTAGCTGGGACTATAGGTGCACACCTCGATGCCAGGCTAATTTTTCTACTTTTAGTAGAGACAGGGTCTCATGCTTCTCAGTCTGGTCTCAAACACCTGACCTCAAATTCCTCCTGCCTTGGCCTCCCGGAGTGCTAAGATTAAAGGCGTGAGCCACCACACCCGGCCCCACATAGGAATAGTTAACATAATTGTCATATTTGTTAAAAAACAAAAATGTGTGTACTGTGTGTATGTAGGAAATGGAGTCATTTTCTTACCCAATTTATTAAAAAATTAGAAATATGTTGCCACTGGAGAAAATCTCTCTCTAAAACAAAACTGACATTTAACAATGGAGCTTTCTAAAAAATGTTCAGTGGGAAATAGGACAATTCTGGTGACACGGACTAGCTGATAAGAGTCAAAATAAGTAAATTACAAATATTACATTGTAATTTATAGTAGAAGTATTTTGGTGTGGTGAAATGAGCCATGGTTTATTACCGCCTAAGTCAGCTGCACTCTGCCCCCTCCAGACCCATGATAAATGACACATTTGAAAATAAATGTATTATTTTTAAGATAGTTGGTCTTGTCTGATTTTTTTAAGGTTATAAACATGGCTTTTCTGATGTATTTTGGCATCCTAACTTCCTTGGGATAATGTTCTTTATCTCTTAGCCAGAACACAGGGTAAAATAATCCTATCCCAGACTGTATTTATACATACTGAGGTGTTTTTATTGTTGGGAGGGGGTGAAATTTAAAAATTCTGAACTTGCAATTAAACTCCTACTTAATTTCTAGGCTACATGAAATGAAAGCTTGCCATTTTTTAAATACTGTAATGGCTATATTTAACTTTGCTTCAGAAGCTGGGCACAGTCAGGGTCTTTAATCCTTAGGAGAAGGTTCCCAGTTCCATAGTATCTGAATTGCATGGTTTATTCCGAGTCACTGCTACCAACCCAGAATGTGAAATGGGATTGAAAACATACACTACTGTCCCTTCTATAAAAACTCGGTATGATGTGAGTGAGGCCCAGGCACAAATGCCAGCAATGGGATGCTGTGTGTTCTCTGTTCTCGTCATCGTTATGTCTCTGTGCTGCTTTCCAAATAAATTCAGTGCTGACATTGTACAAAAGGCACCAGTATAAAAATGGTTTTAATGGACAACACTGCTGCTTTTTGTTGTTCGAATGGTGTGGTGGACCACGGTAAAGCAGAAGAGAATCTGTCCACGCAGACCTTATCAGAAGCCAGGATTCGGAAGGAGGCGATGACCTGCTCCGCGGTGTCAGTGTCGCCGGTCTCTCTAGTCATGAAGTCAATGAAGGACTGGAAGGTGACCGTGCCTTGTCCATTGGGATCAACCAGGGTCATAATACGGGCAAATTCGGCTTCACCCTGAGGCGAGGTGGAAAAGACCATGTGCTTACACAGTCCACAGCTCTCGACAGTGCCATTCCCATTCTTTCCCTACTCACATGCAAAGTCCTCCATGTTTGAAAACTGAAGCACAACCTGCCGTTCCCTTCGGCCTTTGGAAGAGATTCCCCTCATGGGTTTATTGCCACCAAACAATTTTAAAAGCTGCTGTAGCATCAAGCCACAGGCCCCTGAATGTCAGAATTCTGCCCTCTCTTGACCCCTGGTGGCCTTCATGGAGGACATCACATACCATCATTATGGAAGAGTAGGTCAAAGCCAGAGGGGGGGCCCTTTTCTCAGATTATAACTGAGAAAAGCGATATCCATAAATAGAAGGCAGTTTAGGCTCTCATGACTTTATTTGAAAGTTCTGAAGGAAATCAAAGCAGGTCATGTTCGAAATACACATTAATAAGTCACAGAGAAGTGTGGGACCATGGGGAAACGTAAGTTGTTCTTAGCTGATTTATTACTAAACATTTTTTATCTTTTAAAATATCAGAGGAAAAAAGCACTTTAAAAATCATCAAGATACTAAAAGCCACTGAAGTGAACCCTTTAAGTGGGTGACCTGTAGTGTGTGAATTATATCTCAATAAAGCTGTTTAAAAAATCATCAAGATAGCCTATATTCTCATTTCCTTTACTAGAAAAAAATCTGACCAATTACTAAATAAAAATATATATTCTGGCTCTGTGAAATTGTTTTTATATAAATAATGGTCAGACCTTCAAAAAATATTATCCTATATAATGAAAACAAACCAATCCCAAACTTTACTTTGAGCTAATCATTTCCTGTCATATAAATCCAAGCTCAAAAAAAAAAAAATCAAATCTTACTAAAATATCAAACTTCTGTCTTACCAAATCATAGCCCATGGAGATCAGGCAGGCTCTGAAATCCTCATGATCCATCAGCCCATTCTTCCTCTGTTGACAAATGCAAAGAACAGGGAAGGTGAGAGAGAGGCAAGATGGGCTCTGTTTGACCAACTGCAGGAAAATCTGGTGAGAGAGGGGCACTCTGAGCTCTGCCAAGGTCGTACAGGAAAAATGAAGCCAACACAAGGACGTCACAAAATAGTTCCTTAGAAAGGGAAAAGAGGCCAGGCTTGGTGACTCACACCTGTAATCCTAGCACTTCAGGAGGCCAAGGTGGGAGGATGGCTTGAGCCCAGGAGTTTGAGGTTGTAGTGAGCTATGATGATACCACTGAACTTTAGCCCAGATGACAGAACAAGACTCTGTCTCAGAGAAAAAAAAAAAAAAAAAAAAAAAGAAGGAAAAAAAAGAGAAAGGGTAAAAAACAGACAAAAATAAAAATGACACATTCCACAAAGCAGCAAAAGGAACTAGCTGGGAGCTCGCTACTGCCACCTACTGATGACAGAACATACCGTAACAGAGATGATGAAGCTCTCCCTGGCCCTGGGAAGTCATCTTTGTAAAATTCCCCCAGAGATAAATGTGTTTTTACAGTTCAAACAAAGGGAAAGCAACGATTCTCAGTATGTTTAAAGCAGTACTTAATTTTTTTTTAATTAAAAAAATTTTTTTAGAAACAGGATCTTGCTCTGTCACCTAGGCTGGAGTGCAGTGGTGCAATCATAGCTCACTGCAGGCTTGAACTCTTGAGCTCAAGAGATCCTTCTGCCTCAGCCTCTTGAGTAGCTAAGACTACAGACACACACCCTAACACCCAGCTAATTTTTTTTCAAAGTTAAAGATTTCTTTATTAATAAATTCTTCTTCCCCTCCAAACGTTTTCCCCTAAATAAATATCTCTTCCCCTCTTTGGGGTTTGGGGGTATGTATGTTAGGGCCAGTCCTCCTAGAGAGCCAGCCCCCTAGTGTTAAGAACAGTCCATAACCCTCCAGGCTGAGAACCCCATGGTGGAATTTCAGTACATCTGAAATTCTGAGTGGGGACTAGCATTGTGTCTGCCCATCAAGTCAGCCTGGCCTCCCAGGCCATCAGGGAAGGGGAACGCACCCTTTCTTGTGCAAATGCTGCAGCCTTAGTCTGTGTCACTAGCTAATTTCTTTTTGTAGGGACTGGGTCTCCCTATGTTGCCCAGGCTGGTCTTGAACTCCTGGCCTCAAGCGATTCTCCTGCTTTGGCCTCCCAGAGTGCTGGAGTTACAGGCGTGAGCCACCATGCCAGGCCAGTATTTAACTTTTTATGTCTTTACTATTAAAATTATCACCATTTTGTTGGTGCATTTCCTCAAAACATATCAGGAACCAGTTTTGTTAATTAAAACAGAAAACTGAGATTTACGTGTCGAAAGAGTAGGTTAAATTATCATCAGGTGCTTTACCTAACAGCTACTTAGGTATACATCAGAGGTTAAAGTACATCAGAGGTTTGTCTTTCAGTCTTTGGAAAATGACCTAAATCCAACAACCACATTTTGTTGAGGAAACACTTTCACTTACAACGAAGCAAGCTTTGAGAGCGACTACAAATGCATTCTCACTTAGGATCTGCATGAGACGTCACACAGACCTAGACCTGGGTCCCCTGGAACAGCATCAGAGCTTAGGATACTTCATTGCGGTGGCTATTTTCCTTTGCCATCAATCATCTTGTTTCCCTGTAAACTTGTTGGGGCACTGAGACTTAAAAGGAAAGCATGTGGATTATTTTGGACACCCTGTCCGATGTGCCCACTACCGCCCTTCAGACAAGCAGAGAGCGGTACCCTGTCGAAGTGGTTGAAGGAGGCTCTGAACTCGTTCATCTGCTCCTGGGTGATGCCCTTCGCATCCCTCATCAGGATCTGGGTCTCCACCTCGTTGATCGTCCTGGCGATGGTCGTCAGCAGCAGTTCCCACCCGACGCGAATGTGCTGCCAAGGGCAAAGGGGAGGGTCAGCTCTAGCTTTCTCCGGCATGTCGGCTTTGCCTCTTCACGTTCATAACAGGAGAGTCAACTCAAAGGGCCTACTATAAATAGGGTTTGTGACAAATTGCCCTACGTTTAAAAAAAAAATTCAACTTTGTCATTTTTTTGCAGGATTCTGCACTGGGAAGTACTCAGAAGGGAGACAAGGATTCTAATAGAGACAACTGGCACTTTGTAGTTTAAATATACTATGTCTATAGTCTTACTTGTCACTAAAAGTATTTTTCCATTTACCAAGTAGCAAGTGTGGCCCTGGTTATAACTGCGGGCACCCAGAGGGATCAATTTGGTAGATTGATTGCATTTCTACCAAACTGGTAGATTGTTGCATTTCTACCAAACTGGTAGAAATGCAACAGTCCAGTTTCAGGTACTCTCTCTGAAGAAGCGTAATGAATTCGCATTGGTGGTGATAATAATTACCATGTCATCGCTGCTACCACTGACAACTATCATACAGAGCTCAATAGAGGTCGCAAAGCTTTTCCACACACAGTGACTGGGAAGCCCCAAAGATCCCTAACTTTCACATTTGTAGGACTTAACAGGAACAGAGAGAGACAAGTGGGTGAAGAGAACACCCTGAGGAGGCGGCATGGTCACAATGGGATAAAACAAAAGCGACACAGGCCAGTCTGGCTGCCGTACCTCCATGGTGTAATTCGTGTGCTTGTTGTCGAAGACGAGGGCCTCCTGGATGAGCTGGTGGTCTCCCTCCAGCTTGTCGATGTTGTTCTTGTAGTTGATGATGTTGTGCTCGTACTGCTTCAGCTGGTTCATCTGGTCTTCCAGGGCTCCTGTGATCTGGATGGAGCTCCGGGCAATCTCCTGATGGGTGGGTGAGAGAAACAGAATGAGGGGCCTCGGCGGGAGGCGTCAGTCCTGACTCCGCTTCAAATGCTCGGCCACCGCCGGCATCAGGCCGAGGCCAAGGTCCCGTGGCTCCCTTTTCTCAGATGAAGTGGGACACAGGTAGGATCACAGGACAAAGCAAGGTCTAGTTCTAGCCTGTCTAGTGACTGGGAACAAAGCTAACCAAGACCCAAAACAGAAAAGCAAGAGGGGTGGGAAGTGAGTCCTTTCAGCCTTCTGGATGTCCGTGGGAAACCCCCTCGGGCAGGGCTGCGCTGTTCTGGGGGAGGCCGGTGGTGGGCTGCGTGGCCGGAGCTGCCACACAGAGTGAAGACCACCGGGGGTCCTCCATCAGAAGAATTTCTTTTATTTGTAGATGTTCTCCCCCTTCAGATAAAAGTTAGTATTTTATCACCAAAAGGGAGGTGGGGTGAGAAGTAAGTAGGCCAAAAAAATGCTTCCTGGCTGTCCTTGGTCATCAAATGTACCCAGACATCAGTGCTAACTGAAGACCACTTTCGCTTAAAAGTTATGCAAATGCAAAGTACTTGTGGGTCTTCACACATCCTTCTCCTCAGGGATGGATGGTTTAAATTTAGGTCCTGCAGAGGCCAAGAGCCGAGAACTTGAACATTTTCGCCCCCTGGCGTCCCTCCCTGCACTCTATACTGTGCCTGGGTGCACACCCACAGCAGCCCAAGGGCTGAAAAGATAAAGCCACAAGTGACAAGTAACGGCATGGTGCTCTCAGATGACTGAGTTGGGGTGGCCAGAAACTGCAGTGTAAAAGGTGTCACTGCCGCATCAGCGAAGGGACTTGTGGCGGGGCTGGCAAGGCCAGCTCTTGGAAGGGCGCTGACCTACCTCCATCTTGTTCTGGATCCACGGCCCGATGGCATTGGCCTGTGCCGCAAACTGGCGCCTCAGACGCTCGTTAGCGTGCTGGCGAGCCAGCTCCTCCTGCAGGGACTGATCGCGGATGGGCACCAGCTGCTTCACCTGTCAGGGCCCAAGGACAACAGGGATCAGAGGCCAGCTTTGGTCACACAAGAATGACCACAGGATGCGGTAACAGTCCAAGGAGCAGGGGTGGGAGTGGAGAGGGTGAGGAGGAAGGGAGAGGGGAGGGGAGAAGGTGGGTGGTGAAAAGAAGGGGAACAGGAGTCCCTGCTTAAGGGACTAGATAGCTCAATCTGGCTGTTTTTTTTTTTTTTTAAGAGGCAAGGTTGGTTTCATTCTGTTGCCCAGGTTGGCATCACCCTGGCTCACTGCAGCCTTGAATTTCTGGGCTCAAGCGATCCTCCTGCCTCAGCCTCCTGAGCAGCCAGGACTACAGGCACAGGCCACCATGCCTGGCTATCAATCTAGCTTTGACTGCCACCTAGTGCCACTGAGTGCCTACTGAAAGACCAGAAGAGTAGAAGGGTATTTAGGAACCTGCACCAGGGACAGTAACCAGTCAGTCCTCTAGCCACGGGCTCTTGGCTTTGTAGCACCAACACACTGTGGGTGCTGGGTGCAGAATGCAGAGGATTTGTGAACTTGGATGAGGGGAACACCGACATCTTTATTTTCACCATCTCTACTGAAAGTTACCATTTCCTTTTGATTATGAATGTGGGCAGCCAATCTGCAGCAGTATTTAGCAGTCCCTGTAACTCTATCACAGCAGAAATCACAGACACTCTGTGTAACATTACAGTTATCACCTGACTCTTGCATACTCAGCGCTACCACAAAATTACTAGACTTGCTGTCAGGTCTTGGTTTGAGATGTGTTAACAATGAACCACGTCCATTACTATATCCCAACTTCTAAAAATTTTTAATAATTGCATTTTAATATAATTTGTTTCCTTTGTATTCTTAAATATTTTTATGAGTTTACAAATATCATGATCAGAAGAGACTCAAAGGCTTCCCCAGACTGCCCAAGGGGTTCATGACACATAAAAGTAAAGAACCTGCTCTCCATTCCTTTTGTGAATTACAGTGCCACGCCTCACCTCTCTTTGAAGTGACAAGAAAAAGAAAAGCTATTTCAAAAATCCTTTTTTGGTATCATCTGCAAAACTGTGGCTAAAGGCATTATTCTAGTGTCCCTTTTACAAAAATCTATTTGCTTTATAACTTACTAATGGGAGAAAGGTTTGTTATCACGTCAAGAAATGATGTATTTCCATTTTTATTTTTTCCAAGAAAACTGATTAGCTCAGCATGTTTCTTTCCTTTCTGACACTGGCTGTCAGGAAGACCAGAGGTAATTTGAAGTTCAGGTGCACTAACTAATTACTGTCTCTCAGATAAATGTTCCCTTTTTTCCCCTACCTATTTTTCTTTTTTGCACTGTTTATAACTAACTTGTTTCATGTGTGTTTTATAGTAAGTCACTTCAATTCCGCATGGTGGACTTATTCCTCAAAGACTGTGTATTAGCATACTGAGATGACTAATTGTGCTATAATTTCAACCATGAAGAGAAATTTCTCTTAAGGATGAGACAAAAGGACTCAAATGACCCCATTTTGACTATAATTAAATTTGTGGACAGTTTCCCAGAATTTAAAAGGCAGCAAGTTAGTAGGAATACTTCTCATTCCCCAGATGTAGTTTTCTAAGCAATTTTTCTGCATTTAAAATTCATATACATTTGGGACATGTCTATCTCATATTCTAAAAATTCTTTAAAAGTAGTACTATAGGTAAGCTGATAGCACCAAATTTCCAGCTGGGGTTTTAAAAATAATTTCCCTTATGGTATTAGTATCATAATTTGTACTGATTTTGTCAACATTTGTACGATTTTTCTTTAAGAAAAATAATCTCTACTTTCTTTCCCCACAAACTGCAGAAGCTGTTGAATGGCTCTTAAGAGTTTAACACATTTCATCTGTGAAATCCGGTAGGAAGGAAAATCCAGATCACAATGCAAACTCAGGCCATCACCCTAAGTGCCCAGGGTGTTAACCTCTTCCCTTGACCTCCGCTTCAAGAATGCCCTCAGATGCACACCTTGTCCCACTTGGTCCGGATCTCATCCATGGTGACAGTGCTGTACGGGTTGCTCGAGCTGATTCTGATGTTGTAGCTCTGAATCACCTTCTCCACCTCGTTCTGGATGGCCAGGATAGACTGCCGCTCCCCGTCCGCCTCGGGCAATGTGGCCTTGAACTGCTCGTGGGCCGTGATCAAACTCTACACCAAAGACACAAGTGGGGAAAATCCGATCTGACTTGGGTTTTCATTTCACAGACTTCAATGTTCCCTTCTGCACACAGAAGGAATATCCTGCCTTCTAATTGCAGGAATCTTGGAGGGAACCAAATTCTAGATGTTTTAGAAAAACTCTTTGGTGCACAAAAGTCAAGTTCCTTGAAGATGGAAAAAAGATAACATGACTATTTATTTCATTGATGGCTATTCCAGAGTCTTCCATAAATAATTTTTTTTAAATCATGTTTTCTTTCATTATTTCTGATCCCCAGCTATTGTTTAGGCCTTACTTTCTGCTAATGAATAGAACCTAGCTGCGCTTTCTAATGGCCAGTGTTATTTCCATAGTCCTACAAAAAGCACCTAATATTTGCTGCCTTTATACTTAAAGACAACCAGAAAGAACATTTCCTACTCCTCAACAGAAAAGGTCACAGAAACCAACTCTTTCCCACTTATCAAACCTATTTTTTGACCCTAACGTATAAGACAGCCACTCTGTAAGTCCAGCTGTCCCCCTGCCTCATTGACCACCTATGAGTGTGAAGCTCCTTGTTCTCTTTGCTGTTCTCACTGTTCTATTTAGTTGTTCCAACAGATCAGTCGCCAACAGACCTTTCAAGAATTTGTTTCCTTGCAAACAGTGTGATCTCCAAAGCACATTTAGAGGCCTCACTTATTCCAAAAATAAATGATTTTGGGCTATTAGCTTGTGCTTAACTGCCATCAAAGCTTCTTCCAGAAGACAACTTCGATGTTCATGGAAGTAATTTCTTTCCCCTGAACCCTTCTAGACTGCTTCCTGGCAGGGAGGCATGGATTAAAATCCCAACCTTTAGATTCTTTTTGATGATGTATCTATTTTATAGAAAAAAGAATTTTCTCTTTTTATTCTATTATACATCAAACTTACTGTAAGTGTCTCTAAATAAACTGGGTTCCAACTGTCTGAGAGTAACTTTCCTCCCTAATATCGCCACTTAGAAGATAGATAGATAGAGGCCAGGCGTGGTGGCTCACGCCTGTAATCCTAGCACTTTGGGAGCCCGAGGCGGGCTGATTGATCAAGGTCAGGAGTTTGAAACCAGCCTGAGCGAGACCCCATCTCTACCAAATATAGAAATAAATTAATTGACCAACTAAAAATATATATACAAAAAAATTAGCCGGGCATGCCTGTAGTCCCAGCTACTCGGGAGGCTGAGGCAGTAGGATCGCTGAGCCCCGGAGATTGAGGTTGCTGTGAGCCAGGCTGACGGCACGGCACTCACTCTAGCCTGGGCAACAAAGTGAGACTCTGTCTCAAAAAAAAAAAAAAAAAAAAAAAAAAAAAAAAAAGTAGATAGATTCATTCATTCATTCATTCATTCGGACAGAGTCTCACTATGTTGCCCCAGCTAGAGTGCTGTGGCATCAGCCTAGCTCACAGCAACATCATACTCCTGGGCTCAGGTGATACTCCTGCCTCAGCCTCCCGAGTAGCTGGGACTACATGCATGCACCATCATGCTCGGCTAATTTTTTCTATATATTTTTAGTTATCCAATTGATTTCTTTCTATTTTTAGTAGAGACCAGGTCTCGCTCTTGCTCAGGCTGGTTTTGAACTCCTGACCTTGAGCAATCCTCCCGCCTCAGCCTCCCAGAGAGCTAGGATTACAGGCGTGAGCCACCACGCCTGGCCACTTAGAAGTCTTGATTAAAACTTTGAAGTTTCAGAAGAAATTATAAGCAGAACATTTTGGATTGGTGGCAGGCAGAAGGTAGGTGCTGATTTGTGATTTCTTATGTTTTATGATCTGGCAAAACTCTGTAGCTCTAAATAAACAGTATTATGTGCACATTTGCAAAGTAGTTAACTCGGCAGCCAATACTCTGATAACTTTCCATGAATAACTCCAAGAGCATGTATGTCTATTTTGCTCAATAATCTAGCATTCTTTGTTAAAGAACAGACCCTTTTAGATATATTCACCATTATTTGATTGATGTTCACCTGTTTGCAACAAAGAGTGGTAAACTTTTTTTTTTTTGAGACAGAGTCTCCCTTTGTTGTCTGGACTAGAGTGAGTACGGTGGCATCAGCCTAGCTCACTGCAACCTCAAACTCCTGGGCTCAAGCAATCCTGCATCGGCCTCCTGAGTAGCTGGGACTACAGGCATGCACCACCATGCCCGGCTAATTTTTTGTTTCTATTATTAGTTGCCCAGCTAATTTTTTCTATGTTTTGTAGAGATGGGATCTCACTTTTGCTCAGGCTGGTTTTGAACTCCTGACCTCAAGTGATCCTCCTGCCTTGGCCTCTCAGAGTGCTAGGATTACAGGTGTAAGCCACGGTGCCCAGCCAAGAGTGGTAAATGTTTTTAAGCTTGGGTACAAAGGGTAATTTGGGCTTTCTAGCCACATGTTTCTTAGTTTAAAAAAACAAAACAAAACCAAATAACAGAACTCTAGGTTTAAATGATAACTCATTTCTAATGCATAAGTGTTAGAATTAGGGTTCAATTACCTGGATCTCCTCAATGCTATGGACAATAAACATGTCTTGCAGATCCTCCATGGCACCCTCCATCCAATTGTTGAAAGGAGCTGCTCTCTTGGCAAACTCCAGGTGAAGCTGATCGATGGTTTCTAGCAATTTCTCAGTTCTCTGAAGATTATTTAAATGGAAGCAAGCATTAGCATAGGCCAATAAAAAAATTCACTTAAAATGTAAGTATGTATTCCACACCAATAAACTTTTATCTGACACTTTATTAATCACATTAGCATGTGTCTCCCAAGATTTTCCTACACTCAAATGGTTAGGCTGAGCCCTGTAGGTCTCTGCAGTGCTTTCTGAATTAAAGAAGGATTTAATAACAGCCAGAGTAGGTTTGTTTTTAAAGTACCTAAAGCACTTCACTACATGCTACTTTTCTGAAAGCTGAGAACCCACATGTGGCACGTGGTAACTTGCTTTCAGCTACAGCACACCTTTGTAAGTTAGAAGACCCAACACTCTAACCATGCCAGATGACAGAAAATTCAGGGCATCTTCCACATGGGGTAGTCAACAGTGTGCCTTTCCCAAAGTCACCTACCTAAGTGAAGACAGAAAGAACTACAGTTTAATGTTCTCAAATCCTCATTCAGGATTTAGCACAGAGACCGTCTCTTGCCTTTCTGGCCACATGAAAGCACAAGGCTTCAGGCAACAGAGAATGAACCTGTGCTTATTTCCTATGGCAGAGACAGTGAAGAGCAGACAGGGAAAGCCTTCCCCATCTGTGAGTCTGCCATGAATAGATTCATCTTTCTCTCCTGTTCTAAAATGTTTTATACTCTTTCTGTTACATGCCTGTCCTTCCTCCCTCTCAATATTTCCTTCTATAGGCAGATATGTAATAGCCATTTGGCATTTGGGAAGCCTGATATCACATATTTTAAAAGTTTCATCAGAGTCAGGGTGGAAAGACTCAGGAAACTGGCAAATCACTTCTTTCCTTCACACTGTAGTCTTCCTTAGATGGAAATGATTAGGTATAGTTAAACACCAGCTACTTGCTGCCATTTATCAAGTCTTATGCTTAGATAAGGTTAGCTCATCCCAATTCTGTTCCATATCAACTTTTCCTCATTTTAACATTTGTTGTCATGTTTCCTTTGGCACCTCTCAGGTTAGGTTCTTCCTGATTTCCTGACTCCATCACAGCTCAGTTTACTCACACAGTAGGACTTTTGGAAATTCCCTGTAAGTACTGCTTGATACAAAGTGGGTTTATACCTTAATCTCACACCCCTGGATTTTTTAAAATTCAAAAGTATATTTCACTGCTATATGGATAAACTGTAGCACAAAGCTACCAACCTTCCATTTCCCTCTCCTGCATTTCATAGTTTCTTTTTTTTTTTTCTGCCCAATATCATCTGTAGGAATCATATTTTCTAAAGAGGTTCTTTTCACTAGACAATCTGTTTAACAGCACAGAAAAATAGAAAACTAACACCAGAGACTTAATTAAAGGTTTCATGTCAACAGGTGGCTTCAAGACTTCACCTCTAGGGCTTCTCTCCTCTTCTGAGTAAGCGTTCCCAATCTGTCCCACTGGTCACAGATTTTCTGGCACCGATCATTGACATTCACAGCGTCATGATAGTCCAGTTCACTATTAAAAGTGAAAATAAAGAAAGATTAACTTTTCCAGATGATATGAGGGAAAATGAACATGGGCTCAAAAGAAACAGAAAAGTTAAAAAAAAAAAAAAAAAAAAAAAAAGCCAGGCACAGTGGCTCACGCCTGTAATCCTAGCCCTTTGGGAGGCTGAGGTGGGAGGACTGCTTGAGGCCAGGAGTTTAAGATCAGCTTGAGCAAGAGTGAGACCCCATTTCTATGAAAAATAGAAAAATTAGACAGGTGTGGTGGCATGTGACTGTAGTCCCAGCAACTCGGGAGGCTGAGGCAGGAGGATTGCTTGAGCCCAGCAGTTTGAGGTTGCAGTGAGCTACGAGGACACCACTGCACTCTAGCCTGGGTGACAGAGCAAGACCCTTTTATTTAAAAAAAAAAAAAGAAAATATATATATATATAACTGACAGAGAATTGAGAATTGGCAGGGTATCTCAGGGTTTTGTTAATTACTATTGCAAACACCCTCTTCTCAGATAAATTAACAAGAGGAATTCATAAAACTCTGGCTGGCCAACAGATTTCTAAATGGAGAGAATCACTTTCTTCTTAATGCCTCAAGCTAACTTTTTCTCCCTTCGATTTCTTGGAAAGGCCCCCAGAGAGCATTATTTTTAAGTGGCAATGTACCGGTAAGTGAAGCCAACTATCTGACCTGAAGGACAGTCCTGCGCCAGGCTGTAGCCACAGTGACTGGAAAGTTGAAATGAGTCAAGGGGGAGGGAAAGTGTCAGATTGCAGCAGGCTGTGTCCTCAGCTCCTCTCTGAGGGCACGCAGCCTCACACTGGGCGGAGCATCAGCTGCAGAGGGCAGCTGTGACTTTATCTAGCACGCAGGGACTTCTGCAATGGGGCAGAACAGAGAGCCCTTCCACATAGGGGCAGAGAGGTTCTGACTTGTCTCACGCCACTAATGAGACAAGCAAGAACTAAATGATTTCTTGCTAAATATTTCTTTTTCCTCATCAGCTCTGTCTAGGGATCCTACCTGGGACCTTTGTGAGATGAAGTCATTTGAACTTACCATTAAAGAATATTCTTGCTTAGAAGGTTAACCTAGTATCTCCAGGGATAAAAAGTTAGAATCCTGTATGAAACTATATCACCCTTTGGTTAAGACGGAAAGCGAGATCATGGAGGTTTGAAAACATCTTCAGGAGACTTCTTCAACAAGAGTCCAGGATGAGACAGCTTTCAGAAAGTCCCCTCCTCCCCTACAAAAGCCATTTCTTTGAGGCTTAGTTTTGTTTACTTCTTTTTTCAACCTTAAATTAAGGCAGTGGTTGTTCATTGCTTGGGTTTTTTCCCCCCCTTGAATAATATTAACTCGTGCTTATTGAATTTTACTGCTTCTGTTACAAATGGTTGTTATCTGAGTGTTCTTCCAGTGGATAAGAAGCTCTCTGTCACCTCATTAAAGGTCATCCGGTTCTCAAGAGCAAGCAGCAGTTTTCTACATACAAACACTCTTCACTAGACTAAGGCCAACAAGATTCTTGTGCTTATTTGGTATGACCAAAAATAATAATAAAAGTCCAACCAAAACACACCAGCAGTTTTCACAGCTCTGAATACAAAACCAAAAGCCTATGCCTCATCAAAATGCAAATATTAAAGGGAAGAAAGACTTCTCCAAAAGCAAAAACCTAGGAATCCTTCTACTGCTCCATAAGGGAGACACCAGCGCTCACGCCCCAAGATTACTGGAAGTGTGTAACTTTTCTCTCTTCCCTCTCATTGAGAAGCAATGGTGCTACACGTATCTGCTTTCAAGGAGTGAGCGTTTGTGTAACTGTGCCTATTTTTATGCACTTTGAGAACTGCATAAAAAGTTTAATTTATTATTTGAGGACAGGTAAAAAAGGAAAAGGGTGTTAATAGCAGTAAGATGAGCATAGACTTAAATTCTAGATGTGGTTCATCTCTCTCTCTCTCTTTTTTTTTTTTTTTTTTTGAGACAGAGTCTCACTCTGTTGCCCGGGCTAGAGGGCCATGGCATCAGCCTAGCTCACAGCAACTTCAAACTCTTGGGCTCAAGCGATCTTATTGCCTCAGCCTCCCGAGTAGCTGGGACTACAGCCATGCGCCACCATGACTGGCTATTATATATATATATTTAGTTATCCAGATAATTTCTTTCTATTTTTAGTAGAGATGGCGTCTCACTCTTGCTCAGGCTGGTCTCGAACTTTTGAGCTCAAATGATCCTCCCGCCTCGGCCTCCCAGAGTGCTAGGATTACAGGCGCGAGCCACCACTCCCGGCCTCTGGTTCATCTTTTGACTGTGTGAAGAAATAGGGCACTGGGGATAGCAAGAATAATACTACTAACAATAATATACAATTATTACTTAAATTTTATGGGCAATACTGAAAACCATTCCAAATTACTCACGGGAGCTATTATAGAGCACTAAGTAGCTTGAGTTTCTTTTCATCCACTTATTTTATTTGTAACTTAATGAGTGATAAAAAAAAAAAAAACACCATTCAAGAAGTATGAGGAGTAAGACCACAGAAAGACCATGAATATAGTGCACAAATTGGATATGAAGACCACAAAGAATTAAGAGTTTATAGGGACAAGACTGAAACATAGGATGCTCTTAAATAGGCCCATCTATTAACGAAGGGGTTTAATCTAGTCAAAAGTGAGGAACATGGGAGATTTAAAATTAATATATTGAAATAATTTTTATTTAATTTTTAAAGTTACCATTATGTGACAGGCTCTAAAAATTCTGCAGATGTATCAGTGATTATAATTGGGGGGGATGGAAAGGAGTAGGGCATAAAAGTTTGTATTTATCAAAAGGGAAAAAAAGCCTTTAAAAAGCTCAGAAACGCTGTGTGGAGGCCCCTCTCCCTGCAGGCGGCCACATTCCCCAGCTCGCGGGGCACAGAGCAGGGACCAAGACCGTCCACTCAGTGCTCCACCCCGCCTGGCTTCCATCAGCACCCTGCTAATTCTTCCCATAAAACAAAAAGCATGAAAATGAAACAGCGCTAATTAAATGATAAAGAAAGGCAGGGCCCTAGCATCCCAAGGAAAAGGTGAGCTGGCGACCTCTGTGTTGTGCTGGTTTCCCGACAGGCTTCAGGTTCCGCCTTCTGCACCTGGGCTGGGCCAGGCCCCTGGTAGCTTTCTGGGCCCCAGCGGTCCGAAGCAGAGCTGCCTACCTGGGGTTAAGGTGCTGCTGGACAGAAGGGCACAGGGACAATACCACAACCAAAAGCCAAAGCCAAAGTCTGTTTATGTATTTAAAAAAAACAAGAACCCCATGGCAGCGTGCTCCAGTTTGGTTCTCTGGGCATGTGGCACAGGGCGCCACAGCCTCCCTCGCCCCTCTCCGTGGGGCCCTCGGAGCCCCCAGGGAGCACCCGCGTGCCGCACGTACTTGAGCTCCTGCGCGATGGCGGCGATCTGCTCCACGCGGTCCTGGTGCGCCGCCAGGTCGCTCTCGAACGCCTCGTGCTTGCGCAGCAGCGCCCGCAGCTCGGTCAGCGACGCCGACTCGTAGTCCTTCTGCAGCAGGATCTGCTCCTTGCCTGCAAAGGTGCGGCGAGCACGCGTGAGCACGCTGACCACACGGCGGAGGCTTCGCGCCAGCCACGTTCCCTGGGACCACCGAGATGCCAAAGAACCAGGGGGAGGCGGCCAAGAGCGCAGGACGGAAGGTGCAGGGAGGGTTTCATGGAATTCAGGGCGCTACTGTCTCATGATGCCCCGGCCCTCTGTTCTGAAAACTCCTGTCTGCAAGTAAAAGCAGGGCTGGGGGAGAGCTGAGGGCATTCAAAAAGACAAGTCTGTATTCTTCATCGTTCTAAATAACAAGCATCTGATTCTCCAGGGTGATGCTCAGTTAAGTTAGTAATTATTCGTTCCCACGAGCTACAGGGGATGCTCAGATAAAACACCTGTGCTCTATTTGCCTACCCACGGGTTCCACCCTGCCCCAATTCTTTTAAAAAAAAAACTGTTTTTTGTGTGGTTAAATGTAACCTGTATTTTGTTTTTCCTAATAATAAATATTAGATATTTTCCTCTCTGAACCTCCTTTTATCTCTCCTTAACTACTGCTTAAATCTAGCAACTGCTGTGGTTTTAACTGGATCTGCATTTATTCCCTAGCTAAAGACCATTAGGAATTTAATTCTAGGCCCAGCAAGGTGGCTCATGCCTGTAATCCTAGCACTCTGGGAGGCTGAAGATCACTTGAGGTCAGGAGTTTGAGATCAGCCTGAGCAGGAGTGAGACCCCATCTCTACTAAAAAAAAATACAGAAAAATTAGCTGGGTATGGTGACGCAAGCCCCATTTACTCAAGAGGATGAGGCAGAAGGATCGCTTAAGCCCATGAGTTCAAGGTTGCAGTGAGCTATGATCGCGCCACTGCACTCTACCCAGTGTGACAGAGGGAGACCCTGTCTCAAAAAAAAAAAAAAAAAAAGAGGCCGGGTGCAGTGGCTCACACCTGTAATCCTAGCACTCTGGGAGGCCGAGGTGGGCGGACTGCTCAAGGTCAGGAGTTCGAAACCAGCCTGAGCAAGAGCGAGACCCCGTCTCTACTATAAAGAGAAATAAATTAATTGGCCAACTAATATATAGAGAAAAAATTAGCTGGGCATGGTGGCACATGCCCTCAGCTACTCGGGAGGCTGAGGCAGGAGGATCGCTTGAGTCTAGGAGATTGAGGTTGCTGTGAGCTAGGCTGACGCCACGACACTCACTCTAGCCTAGGCAACAGAGTGAGACTCTGTCTCAAAAAGAAAGAAAGAAATTTAATTCTGTAAAGTTGGAAATGGAAAGCAAATGTTCATACATTTAATGATAGCAATGTAACACTTACTGTGTGCCAGATACTACTTTAAAGGCCTCATAAATATGAATTAACACACTGACTGCCACGCTAGGAAAAAAATTTTTTTCCTTGGGGCCACAGAGTTTTATTATGAAAATAGAATAAAAACTTTGAAAACAAAATGATTCTTTCTGATTTAATGAAAATTTTGTTATTTTTTATTGTTTTCTGTGTGAGTTATATGCAACTTGAAAAATAGTTCAAGTGGCTCCCAAGATAAAGAGATGTGTGAGTTACATATGCTTCACAAGGCCCTGGGCTCAAAACTGGTGTGAGTTAAATACAACTCACATGGCAGTTAATGTGTTAAACATTCATAAAAACCTTATGAGTGAGGTATTAGTGTTATTGCCATTTTGAAGAGGAAGAAACTGCAGCACTGACAGGTTAAGACCTCGTCCTAGGCACACAGCTACTAAGTGCCAGACCTGGGACCCCAACCCACCTGGCTCCAGTACCCACACCTATACCTACCTGTCTATGCAATATCAAAAATCAAGCAATAAAAAAGCAAAGGGGAACCAAAAAATAAGGGGAAACCTCCCCAACCTCCCTCAAAACAGATTATTATATGATGGGGTGAATATTTTATTCTTCTACCTCAGCAAGAAGGACTATTTAGTCCAGTAGACAGCCCTTCCCCCTAAAAAAAGACCATCTTACCATGGCTATGGAAACAAGTATGTGTAAGGCCCAAAAGGATGTGAGTGAAATAAAGAAGTTAGATAATTAGATTACAGAAAATGATACTTTGCGTTCTTTCTTTCCATTCAGATTTCCATTCAGATTTTCCCTTTTTTTTTTTGAGACAGAGTTTTACTCTGTCATCCTAAGTAGAGTGCAGTGGCATAATCACAGCTCACTGCAACCTCAAACTCTTGAGCTCAAGCAATCCTCCTGCCTCAGCCTCCCAGAGTGCTAAGATTACAGGTGTGGGCCACCACACCGGGCCCCACTTAGATTTTCTAAGTAGGATGTTACTTTATGGCATTTAATAGGAATTCTTCTAGCAGAAGCTAGTGGCTGGGCCAGGCTGTCTGACCCACAGTTAGGGAATAAACAGATACTTGTGGAATCAAACAAAAAAGGACAGAAGAAGAACAAGCATTAAGTACGTGCGTGACGAACACATTTTGGGTGCCATTTTGTGAAGAAATAAATGATCTGCTTGATTAGAAAATAAATGTCCGTGCTTACCTCTTGAAGAAATTTAGCACTGAAAAAAGAGCAGAGGAAGGTGAAGACACGTCCACGGTGTCACAGACATTAGGGACAGAGTTAGTACCGACGCATCGTGGCTCTATGCACAGCTCAACTCTGGTTTTTCAAAAACCTAATCTGAGTCCCGTCTACTTACCGTAAGCCCAGGTCTCGTGCGTGGAGGCTTTCTGCCTAAACTTCTCAGCAAGGTGCTCCAAGCGCTCCAGTCTCCGGATCTCATTGAGTAACCATTCCTCGTAACCCTTCTCCGCCTGCTCCAGCCTCTGCCAGGCACCAGCAATGTCCTGGGGTGGTTCAAGGACAAGTGAAGGCACATTCGTCACACTCTGGCTTCTTGGGCTTCTTCTATAAATCCCTCTGCTATGGGATCGATGGTGTTTTTGCTTTTGTTTTCTTTTCCTTGCCACCCCCCCCCCCCCCCCCCCACCCCGCAAATAACCATTTAACCACTCAACAATTTGGGCTCCACAAATGTCTTAATTATCACCGGAAGCTTTTAAAACCAATATCGTTGTTATCATCAGCAAACCTGACACTTCTCCAGATGTGGACAAAGAGGGTTCACATTTTCTGGCTTTATGAAGGTAAAAGCCTCAAAGTGACTCAATTCAAAACAGCTCTTATTCAGCGACTGACTGGGATGAGTCAGCCAGGCAGCCTCCAGTAACTACCTGCTGGGCATCTGCAGCCACCAGGCCCTAGTGAGAAGCCTTTTAAGAGTAAGCAACACCTAGAAAGTTCCCTGCCTGACCCGGCTTTCATGATTGTCGAGGGAGAGACAGACAATAAATAAGCAATTAAGCAAGTTCATTTTGGAAAGTGATAAACGCTGTGAAAGAAAAACAAAACAGGCTCAAGGGATACCAAGAGCCCCGAGGCGGTGGTCCCTTTCGGCAGGTTACCTAAGAGAAGACCCCTCTCCGAGGAGGTGGCATTTGAGCTGAGACCTCCACGACAGGAAGATCCAGTTAGGAGAAGAACTGGGGAGCCAGCGCTCCTGGGTGAGGGAACCAGCTCAAAGACCCGAGGAAGCGATGCCCCAGGCGTGTGAGAAGGAGGACACAGGTGTGGCCGTGGCCAGTGTGGCAGTGGCCAGCATGGCAGTGGCACGGCGAGCTGGGGCCCAGCAGCAAGAGTGTGATCAGCAAGGGAGGAGGGCAAGGCAGTGTCAGATCATGTAGGACCTTACAGGCCAGGGTACCGAACCTCGATCTTACTCCAAAGACTTTGAGAAGTCACTGAAGGGCTTTGTGAAGAAAGGAAACAAAATCTGATTCGTATTTCTGAAAGACGACAGAGGCTGCTGTGTGGGGGATGAATTTTAGAAGACAAAAGAAAGAGGAGAGCCAGTGGAGGGCGCAAGGAGAGAGAACGGTGGCTCTGCACAGGCCGAGGGCAGTGGAGGCAGAGAGGGGTGTTATGGGTATTTATTTAAGATCTTCTGGAGGAGGAGCCAATGGGACGGGCTGAAGAACTGGACATAAGAAAGCGACAGAAAGGGAAGAATTGAGGATGAAACCTGGGCTTGGGGCTTTGGCAACTTAGAGTGGTGGTCCCCAACCTTTTTGGTACCAGGGACCAGTTTCATAGAAGACGATTTTTCTACAAATGAGGGGGGTGGAGCTCAGGCAGTGACGTGAGCAATGGACCTGCCAAGCCTTGCTGGCTCCTGCTGAGCAGTTCCCCCTCATTCCTGAGTGTCATGGAAGACAACATTTCCAAGGATTGGGGGAGGGGGTGGCAGAGCCCTGTGGCCCAGGGGTTGGGGACCAAGACTCAGACTTACTAGGATAGGGGGAACTGTGGGAAGATTCTTTTGGATACGTTAGGCTTGAAATGCTCTTTAGGCATCTGAGCAGGTATGAGAGTCTGGACCGTGGGGAGATGTCGAAGCTAGAGATGGAAGATTTGAGAGGCATCAACATTTAGGTGGTAATTAAAGCTGGGCTGGGATGAGATCACATGGAGGGTGTAAAGATAGGGAAGAGGGCCCAGCACCAAGACTGGGGGGAGTGGTCCAACATCTAAAGATGGGGAGAGAAGGCAAGGCCTTAAGCAGAGATGGAGAAGGCCTAACTGGTAAGGAAGGAAGAAAACAGGAGGCCCAAGCAAGAGGCGTTTCAAGAAGGAGGCAACAGGCAACTGGTCAAAGCTCCTGAGAACATAAAAGTAAACATGATGATTAAATTGCCAACACAGATGCCATCAACTGTGCCAAGAACAGCATGGATGGGAGTGGGGACAGGAGCCAGGTCACTGCAGGTTGAAGGGTAAAAGAATTAAGTGAGCCGTGAGGAAGTGGGACCTGCTACCACCAAGAACTCTTTCAAGATGTTTTGCTGTAAAAGGAGGCTGAGAAACAGGACAGTAGCTATGAAGAGATGGAGTCATAGGTCTCCACTTTTGTTTGCCAATGAGAATGATTCAGTAGAGAAGAAAGAGATAACACAAAGGAGAGGGAGATAAATGTAGGATTCAGACCCTGTGAAGGTGAACTGGGCAGGGAAGAGAGGGTACGTGATCTTGACGTTGACGGATCTGGTGGGGGAAGATGAGGCAAGGTGAAGGCAGGGGGAGAAGAAGAGGAGGCAACTCACCAAGCGTTTGCTAAAGGCCTGCTCTTTACGAGGCATCGTACACCAATGGTGACAGAGTCGAGGACTGCATGGTAGGCAGGAGAAAAGTATCGAGAATGAAGTAGTGATAGGGAAAGAGTTATACTCGCACAACTGAAAAGATTCAAGATGCCAATGCCTCCTTCTGGCCCAGATCAAGAGCCTTTAGGAAAAAAAGAGGCTTCCCCAGGGCTTGGCTCTCTCCACTCACCGAGACCATCTTGCCCTCTGAGGGCATGAAGGCGGGCCGGTTGCTGATCCGCAGCTTGGTCTGCAGCGTGTTGAAGTTGATCTCTAGCTGGCACTTCTCCTGCACCTTGGGGGGCTTGTGCTTCCGGCGGTAATCCCGGAAGTCCTCCAGCTTCTTCTGCATGGCTTGCATGGTCTTCTCAGGAGTCCGGTTCTCAAGCCAGGGGATCGTGCGGCGGATCCATTCCAAAAGCTGCTCCCAAAACACAAAGATACTGCTGAAGACACTAGCGAACTGTTCCCAGTTAAAAAACACAGTCATCTGATAATTTGGAACGGATTAACCAAATGTTCCTAAAATTACTCAAATGTGGTCACAATACCCCTGGACTTGAAGGAGGGGAAAGGCACCTATGTGCACGATGGCAGGAATGAAATTTTCAGTGTCCACCCATGCTGCCAGTGATCATCCCAAAGGTACCATACACAGGTCAAAAACTTAAGGTCAGCACATAAAATCGTTTTTTACAAAAATGTGACATTTACAAGAAACTCAGGGACCAGACATTAGCAGACAAATGCTGGATGGAGCTTTCAAATTAAAAAAAACCAAAAAACCAAAAATCCTGACATGGTGGAAATGTACTATAATAAATTTAGCAATGTGGGTTTAACTTACAATGCATTTTTTAAAAAAATAAGATTAAATCTAATGAATTTATTTACTGTACAAATGTATTGTAAGCCTGGGACTGACTCAATACCAAAGTATATTTTAACATATAGCTTTAAAGTAAATCTGCATGATATAAGAGAAAATGTTAGTGAATTCTTAAGGACAAAATATGCACCTCTTCTCTTGAATTCCTACCAAAGTCTTAGAAATGGCCTACTGAAAAGGTCATCATTTACACTTATGCCTACTGAACACTTGGAAAATGATAGCAGATTAGAGTAAAAAATAGCTAAAATGGTGATATATCTATAGTCTAAGGGTTGTAGGAGGATAAATGAAGGACCAAGTAAGAAAAGCAAGACTGGAATTACTGAGGATCATTGTCCTTCAGTCCTGGTCATTTTAAACCGTGAGGTTTATAATGCTATCAAACTGAATTTTTCTTTTCTCTTTTTTAGAGATGGGGTCTTTGTTACCCAGGCTGGACTGCAGTGACATCATCATAGGTCACTGCAGCCGCAAACTCCTGGGCTCAGGGGATCTTTCTGCCTCAGCCTCCCAAGTAGCTGGCACTACAGGTGTGCACTATCATGCTTGGCTAATTTAAAAAAATTTTTTGTAGGGATGGGGTTTTGCTGTGTTACCTAGGCTGGTCTTGAACTCCTGACCTCAAGTAATGCTCCATCCCTGGCGTCCCAAAGTGCTGAGATTACAGGTATGAGCCACCTCACCTGGACCCAAATTGAATTTTTCCATAGCAGCAGTATGAAAATATAAACTCAGTATCATTAGATTGCATTAATATATAAACCACTACTTGGGCAGATTTAGTCCAAGTGTCCTAATGTTTTTCCCAGTATGGACCAAATATCAGCTAAATTAAAAGTCAGAGCAAAAATTATTTGGCCTTGATATATGTCACTGTGCTTGGGTCCAATCTGGAGAGGATGTGGCCATGGACCTCACTCAGCTCAACATTGTTTTTCCTCCTTGTATCGAGGCAGTGAGGAGATGCTTAGCTACTATTTATAAGAACGAAAAAAGAAAAAACATGGGAAGTGCTGTTCTAACCAAGAATCTGGCTGAAGAGCTGTGGAAAGGCACCACAGAAACTCGCGCTCAAATATCCTGGGAAGGCAGAGGGCTTTATCTTCCCCAGATTTCCCTCTAGATATTTATAAAGACACACAAGGCTGAGCCACCTCCTCACAACAGGCTGGCCAAGCTGCTCTGACACTTCATCACTGTGTGCGGCAAGGCTGCTGAATATGGACCGTACCCTATGTGATGTTAGTGGCCAATGAAGCAGGGAAAATAAACCAAGTAATGCAATGTTGTCTAGGGGTGTCCAAAACTGGTGGGGGCAGAGCTGGGCACGAAATCACATTCTGCTATCTTCAAACATGCAGACCACCTCTCTGCTTTGGGATCATTGGGAAGGCCATCGGGATTACATTTGTGCCAGGAGTTAGTTATGTTGCTATAAGATGAACGACCTAGGAGATCAATTATATTTTCCTTCTTTCAGCCTGAGATGAAAAATGCAAAGAAAAAAAAAAAAAAAAAAAACACGGACAATCCGTTTTCACCCCCTGGGTGAGTGTGGATGGAGCTGTGGTCACCAGTTTCCTTTACCTCACTTGCTAGCCTCTCATATTCTTCCATCAGCCTCTCATTCTCTTGATTCACAGCAAGAACCTTACATATCCTGTTAGCTGCTGTCTCGGCCTGTAAAACACAATAGGTAAACAAGACAGCTCTGTCGCGGGGGAGGCAGACACAGAACTGGACAAGGCAGGGGACGGGAGGTGACAAGGGAGATGGCGTGCTGTAAATGGCGCGGAGTCTAGGTTAGGGCGGGAGAAGACCGAGGGCATGGCTTTTGAATACTATGAATTATTTCACACCTTTTTTTTTTTTTTTACAGTTTTCACACAGACTTACACGGCGGGCTGATTATACTGTAGGGAATAACGGGGAGATACCATTAGTCTGAAACACAAGCTTTGTAAAACATCGAGCAAGTTAGTAACAGAAACATATACGTCAAGGAAACCAAGGTCTCGGGTCTCTGAACATCCACCTGAACTCTCCTCTGATCTCATGACAGTGGGCTAGGAAACTCCCTAAGTAACACTTGCCTTTGGAAATCTAAGCAAAAACAACTGAGCCTTATATATATGTGTGTGTATCACTGCACTTAAATTCAATGAAGCCCTTATCTCCTGACATGAATACACAGAACTTTCTAGATGGATCTTTCCCAGAGCTGAGTTTGTTTTAACCTACATGAGAAGTCACCGAGGCAATAAATTATTTTCTATTGTCATTTGTGCAGGGGAACCTGGGCCAGCAGCAGTAAACTGCTTTGAATCATGATCATTTGATGGAACAAGAACAGAAACTTGCCTGTCTAGGCTTCCAGACTGTTCCAGACTCACTCTAAAGCCCTAATTGGCCTCAACAGGCCACTATTTCCTAGTGATGATCTTTAAAGCAATCACAGAAATCATACCTACTCTGCCCAACCCAGTCCACCAAGATTCTCTAAGTACGAAAAGGGGCAAGACGCAGAACCTGGCAGGTGTGTGGAGAGGTGAGGGACATTCTCTCACACTGTCCTTCATGCTGTTCATCTTGAGGAATGTAAATTTTTTTTGAGGTTCTAGCACTGTTATCCCTTTCACTATTTCCCTGAAAATAAGATTCGTCTTGAAATACGTTAGAACAAGTCACTGAATAGTGATGGCAGTTCCTACGTGGGGAAGAATGAGTGGGGGGTCGGCATCAGAAAGGCAGTCACTTCTCCTTGTCAAATTTCCCCTTTTCTGCTCAATGTGCAAGGCTCAATTTTCATGACATTTGTTTTGTCTCGCTTCTAAAGCACAAGTTTTTTTCCGCAATTTACTAATGAAATAAAGGAAATATCTTAAAAAATACATAAAAACATGTTAGGAACTGTCTAAAGTTAAAGCTGTTAAAAAACAACAGTATTCACCAGTTTAGAACTTGGCACATTACGTTATTGTAAAACACGTAGAAAGATTCCAAGGAAAGATGTGAAGCGCACAGACGCACACCCAGCTACACAACACGCACACGCAACTAAAACCGACGCAGAAGAGCGACACGACAGCCTGCACGGACAAGCGTTGAGTACCTGCTCCGCGCCCGCAAAGGCGTGGTAGAAGCAAGAGACGTACGTCATGATGGCTCTTTCATCGGGTTTGGGGGTGTTCACAATGTCTGAAGGGGGAGAAAATAACACAGGACACAGACACACACAGACGAAGAGGAGGACCAGGGGGAACAAAGGAAAGAACAAATTGGTTTACACCGACCAATTCTCTGTGTGTTGCACTGGCCCATGATGCTGAACCTCAGGGAGACCGTTGAGTATTGATATGATTTGTGAACGGAATGGTTTGAACCAGCACGTTTCCTTAATGACCAAACTGAGGGTTTGTTTTCTCCCCAGATGCTTGATGGGTTTTTAAAAGTACATTCAACTCGTTCATGTGGGAACCCGTCAGCTGCAGGCCAGAGCTTGTAACCTTTTCCGTGTGATTCTCGTCCTTTGACTGTGCCAGGGTGTCTGGTGCTCTTGCTCTCAGGAGTGCTCAATGTCACCTTGGAAGGTGGCGGGAATGCTAGCAGGGGGGTACTGTGCTATCTGTCTCCATCCCCACCCTCATCGCTGTTGGGGACGTCTGCTCTATAACCTGCCCTGGCTTGTGTGCGGATGGAATTCACTGGAGAGGGTACGTTTTTAACACCTTCTACACATACTTACCACAATGCTTGCTTACAGAAATCACCCAGAGTGACAAAACATATAGAGAGAAGGGTACACATGGCTTGTGCTTAATGATGACTCTTGCTACTCTTTGTCCTAATTGCTGAAATACTCAACAGGAAGAAAGAAAACAGAACCACGTGAACCTACATCTTTTCTCTTCCTCCACCTTGGCAACACTATTTTTTTTTTTTTTTTTGTAAATTGCTTTTTAACTTTGTTCATAAACTCGGTCGGTCATGACAGAATGAAGTTAAAACTGTCTCTTGTAATTCCTCATGGGGAAACCTAGTCAATGGGTTTGCAGAGACTACTAACAGAAAGGATGTGGGGTTGTGTATCTCTATGGAACCTTCTGGAAAACAAACATGAACAGCATGCCACTGCATGAACAGAAAGTAAGTTTCAAAAAAAAAAAAACTAGACTAAAAAAGACAAACGACTGCTTCCTCAGACCAGATGGGTCTCCTTCCTCTGCAGGGAGGAGGAAAAAAAAGAGGAAAACAATTGGGAAAAAAAATTAAGACACAGAAGGTGAAGGGCGAGCGGTGACTCATGTTGTACTTCCTCACCTTCTGTGCACCAGCAAAAGCATGATAGTAACAGGAGACATAAGTCATTAGGACTCTTTCATCGGGTCTGGCAGTGTATACTAAATCTGTGTGGAGAAAAGAAGGTTAACTGCTTGACGTTCTAACACCAGCAAGCTTCTGCTAAGTACTTCCTCAGAGAAGTTAGTGTCATGAATCTCCCCCCTCACCCCGGCATGGTCATGTTGTTAAAATCTTGGCTTAAATCAAAGAAGTCACACCTGCAAGGTCATTACTGTCTGTACCCTCTTGAGAACTGCCAAAGGAAATAAATGAACTGCATGGCTGGGCCAGAAGTGCCCTGAACTGCAAGGAAGGTCCATCCATGGTCAGAATCGGGCCTCCTCAGAACTCGACACGACAGTGCTCAACGGCACATCCGGGGACTTTCTGTCACTACACACAAGCAGGGCCCAGGGGTCAACGAGATCCCTTTGCAAGTCCACCCGGAACACGGGGGCCCACAGACCTAACCCCAGCACTCACTTCAAAAATGGTTTGCGGAGGGAAATAGGGAAACGATTTTCATAACCTGTTAAAAGCATCACAGATAGTTAAGTTGAGAAAGAGTTTCACCAGTTTTTACCACAAGTGACAATTCATGGGTGAGGGGCCAATCAGTCACTTGAAAACCCCCACTTAAGGTTCACAGACCAACACAAATGGCAGAAAGTGAGGTCCACGGCGCAGGGCAGGAGGCAAGGACTCCCTGAGAGGCACCAATGATCTGAGGAGAGGAGACCTGGACCTGACGCTCCAATAAAAGAGCAGCAGAGACAAGCAAATGTTAATACAGTGCCGTGGCGATGGTTAAGCCCCAACGTAGGCAGCAAACGTGCAAGAGGGAACACGCAGGGCAGATCTGTTGGGTAGTTGCACTGCAGCGCGCTCCGTACCCAAGGCAGCCAAGCTCAGACTCCACAAAGGTAATGATACGGTGTGTGAGCGATCTTCTGAGCCATTAAAAGAGACAGATGAAGAAAAGTAATAAAACGCTCGGATGAAGAAATGAACACGGTGCTAATGCATCCATTTGCCGGGAAGGATAAACAGAACCGGCACACACCCAGACCAGGCTGCAGAGACTAAGGAAAAACCAAAGAACTGAAAAGAACATTAGCAGTGCCAGAGTGATGCTGACGGTGACCCTGACACCTTCAGATATAAGACATTAGGGAGGCATTAACAAACCAGAAGATAAATTTACTAAATGTTGCCTATTTTCTCCTCTCTATTGTATCCTGGCTATTAATGTGAGAAAACTCTGCGTAGTTATTTATTGCATGGAAAGGTCAAAGGAGAGACCACATGAATATTACAAAGGACAGATGGACAGAGAAAAAAAGGAAATTTTCTATAATCCCATTTCTGTTTTGTTGACTTTCTCTTTCTAAAGAGTTTTTGAGAAACCGTAAGTCGAATTCTGAATAATGTATTCAAGTTTTAACACCCAACAATACAGATGCTTGATAAAACAGTTAAATTAGTTAAGTGTGCAAAATTATTAATAGAATCCTAATTGAAAGATCTTGCATCTCCCAAGAAGATATGTTTAAGTCCTAACCTCTGGTACCTGTGAAGGTGACCTTATCTGGAAGTAAGGTCTTTGCAAACATAATCAAGTTAAGACGAGGTCATGCTGGCATAGGAAGGGCCCTTGATCAAGGGGCCTGGTATCCTTATAAGAAGAGAAGATATGTGGAGACAGACATAGAGGGAAAAAGGCCCTGTGAAGACGGAGGCAGAGAATGGACTGATGCTGCCAAAAGCCAAAGAATGCCTGGTGCTTCTAGAAGCAGAGAGAGGTGAGGAACGATCCTCCCCTAGAGGTTTAGAGCCCTTGCCAACTCCTTGACTTCAGACTTAAAGTCTTGAACAGGGAGAGAATAAATTTGTGTAGTTTTAAGCCTCTCAGTTTGTGGTAATTTAAGACAGCAGCCTTACTTAATACAATCACCAAAAACAAGGACAAATGGAAGAGTGACTGCTGACTATACTCAAGTCTTTTACTTTTCCCCAACAATGCTAATTAGTGAAAGCAATGGATCATTAGGGAATAATAATATTAACAACAAAGTGATATATGAATGTAAGTTCCTTGAGGGCAGGGTATATACAACTCATACATCTCATTATCTCCTGCAGCAGAGGGTCTTGTTCATAGGAAGTGCTCAGTCGCTATCTGTTGAGTGATAAATGAACCGTGAATAATGTAAGGAATGAATGGTATCCACATATATCTGTGCTTTAAGTGTTGTACTGTAGGTACAGTTCACATGAATTCACCACATAAAAAGGGCATAGAAGGTATTTGAAACTAATCCCCAGGATGAGTGATGGTAAAGTAAAAAATATACAGAAGTTCTTTTAGAGCTAACTAAATTTAATTTACACTAATTAAAACAAATGTAAAAGTCTGGATGGTACATTGATGGCTGAATGCCCCATATTCTATATTTCAATTCTATAAGTTCTACCTGGAAGAAAGGATTTTTTTCCCCTTTAAGTATGTCACAAAGGGATTTATTTGCTAAACTTGTCTCTGTATGGTGAAGAAAAATACATTATGTTGTTGAAACAAACACAGGAAATTTCTTTCTTGAAAATTACAAACCAAAGCATTCTGTTTATTAGCAAAAGCTGAACTTTTTACCAAATGCTTTCACTATATAAGCTTGGTTTTGGACAAGACTTAAAAAAAAATTTTTTTTAACAAACTATACACGAAACTCCTTTCTACTACTCCTGTGGCCAGTGAGGGAAACTTGTTAGGAATTTTACGTTCTTCAGTTGTAACTTAGCTATAAAGTTTTATGAGGTCCCTGTGCATGCATAGCTATAATATTTGTAGTCTATTGATGTTGGGCAGACACAACTTTTATCTCACCTTCAGCATCCAACATTTTAGGAATATCCAGGTGCTTCTCTGCGATTTCCATGGCCAGGTTAATATTTCCTATGGGGTCATCCTGTATGAAAACCAACACAACCAGTTTTTTAAAATATATTTTGAAACAGGATTTGTGAATAATGTTTTTTATACACCTCACTTTGGGCAGGATGCCTTCCCACCCACACACGGCCATAACAATGTAAGTAACACTCCTTATCTTTTCCCAAGCACTTCAAACGTTTAGAGAAACGCCGAAAATCACAGAAGCCACACAATCCATGCACACTCCAATGTACAAAATGTGAGCAAAAGGTTTAAGAGAATAAATGCACTGACAAGAAAGAACACCCTGAATGTATCAGAGCTCATTTTCAAATCTATAAATTACAAAATCTAAATCATTCTAGGGGATGGATATGCTGGAAGCTCTGCCTTGGGTGGGTGAAAGGCAATATATATATATAACCTAAACATTTGTACCCCCGTAATATGCTGAAATTAAATACATAAATAAATTGTTCTAAAAAAATTGGTGAAACACACATCTTCCAGATTTGGAAGGTGATCCTGGAGAATGTTTACTCCAACACCTTGGTTTTAAATATACGACAGGTGAGGGATAAAGAGATGAAAGAAAAGTGCTGCTAGGCGAGACTTTTAGCCGACTACAGAGTATTATAAGATGGCTACAAAGGGCAAAAACCATGTCTCCCTGATGTTAAAGCAAGGAGAAATTACAAAAAGTAAAAGCATGAAATTTTTGTTCTTAAGATTATATTTATCTTCCACTGTGAAGCCGGTTAAATATACATAACAAAATAAACTTAAGCTGAGGTGTCAAACTAAAATACTAAAAACAAAGAAGACTTAACATTTTTTGTTTTGATCTATTAGAGAAACAAACTATTATGAATTTGAAATGAGACTGGGTGTAAGACAGAAAAATCAAAATGAAAAGTAGTGTTAGTCCAAAGATGACTTCAATGAATTTTAACAGCAAAGCCATTTCAACATTCTAGAAACCACAACACTTTGCACCAGGCACAATCTTTTTTATATGGTGAAACATTTGAAAAGTGCAGGCTTCAAACACATTCACAGTGCTCATGAAGAAACCAAAGTCAGCTTTCTGGCATCGCAGAGCATACGATGATTTCAGGAAAAAAATTTTTTTAACTAAATGTTGTTTTAACAATGCATACCACCATTTGATTGAAAGTAGTTGTACCGTTAAGTGAATCTTACCTGCATATTTTATGCAAATATTTATAAAGCCAAATAGCTGAGTAAAAGTTTCTTTTTTTTCAAAAAACACAGGAGAGAGAATTTCAGCATTAAAATCACACAGCAATGACTCTGAGAGTTTGTGAAAGCTATAGCATTTAGTCTGAAACTTAGAGACAAATGTGACAATTAAGTATTTGCTAGCTCAGCTATTGCCCATGTAACCTTGGGTGGATTACTAACTTCCCACTTTCGTCATCTGCAAAACAGATATAGTATTATAGAAGAACCTACTTTATAGTGTTACTTTGCATTGTGAAGATTGAATGAATATGTGTATATGTGATTTTATATATTAGCATATACATATATGCTTGTGTGTATATACACATGCATGTTTATTTATAACAGTGCCTGATCTGGCATTATGTAAATATTAGTTGCTATCATATTATTATTGTTTTTCCACCCATCTTAGATGGCCAATTACTACAGGTCAATTGAACTTTTGCAGTAAAAACTGATTATGATAAACTGCTCATGACTCTTGGTCTCCAGTATAATTCTCTCATTTTGCAAATGAGATAAAGATTAATCGGAGGCAGGGTGCGGTGGCTCACGCCTGTAATCCTAGCACTCTGGGAGGCCAAGGCAGGAGGATTACTCGAGGTCAGGAGTTTGAAACCAGCCTGAGCAAGAGTGAGACCCCATCTCTACTATAAATAGAAATAAATTAATTGGCCAACTAGGGCATGGTGGTGCATGCCTGTAGTCCCAGCTACTCGGGAGGCTGAGGCAGCAGGATTGCTTGAGCCCAGGAGTTTGAGGTTGCTGTGAGCTAGGCTGTCGCCATGGCACTCACTCTAGCCTGGGCAACAAAGTGAGACTCTGTCTCAAAAAAAAAAAAAATAATTGGAAAAAATGTATACTGTCCATATGTTTGAAACATTTCAAAGTAACTCAGGGGATAAGAAAATATATGCATTGAAAAAGTGAGAGAAAGCTCCGTTTCTTAGGCAAACTTACAGTGTCATTTTTTTTTTTTTTTTTTTTTGAGACAGAGTCTAACTCTTACCCAGGCTAGAGTGCCATGGTGTCAGCGTAGCTCATAGCAACCTCAAACTCCTGGGCTCAAGCAATTCTACTGCCTCAGCCTCCCAAGTAGCTGGGTCTACAGGCATGTGCCACCACGCCCAGCTAATTTTTTTCTATTTTTAGTTGTTTGGCTAATTTCTTTCTATGTATAGTAGAGATGGGGTCTCGCTCTTGCTCAGGCTGGTCTCGAACTCCTGAGCTCAAGCAATCCTCGTGCCTCAGCCTCCCAGAAGGCTAGGATTACAGGCGTGAGCCACCACACCCAGCCAAGTCATTTTTTTTTAAGGATGGGGTCTTGCTATATCACCCAGGCTGGTCTCAAACTCCTGGGCTCAAGCAATCCTTCTGCCTCAGCCTCCTGACTAGCTGGGATTATAGGAATGTGCCACCATGCCCATTTTAGCAATGTAGTCTTAATCTTTAAGAAACAAGTAAATTTTTCATGTGCTACCTTGTAGTCCATGGAGACAGGCTGGGTTGGGAGGGTGGACAAGTGATAACTAACAAGGTGGCAGAAACTAGGATACTCTTCTTATAACCATCCACGCCACACAGGTGAGGGCAGCATGCAGCAGGGCCAGATTCCATGCCAAACACAGCAACACCACGTGAACGTCAAGCTAAGCACACCAGCACCCAGAGGAAATGTGCAGTGACCACTGCTGTGGGAATATGTAGCAGCAGCGGGCCCCACTCTCAGCTCTTAAATCGTCACGTGTCATTATTTCTAAGGCAGCACAGAACACCCACCACAAGGTTCAGAATCCATCACAGATTACATTTTTAAACTACTTTTAAAGAAAGAATTTGAATACTAATCTGAGACTTAAGCACACTAAAACTTCTGCTTAAAGAAGAATTAAAGTTTTCTACATTGAATTTTCAGGGGGCGGGGGGGGGGGGAGGGAGCAAAACCAAAAACACCAAATCCAAAACAAAACAAAAAGCCAAACCTAATAACTTCTTTTCTAAGGCTGAGACTAATATCTTGGATCAATAGTGAGATAGTTATGAAGTACCCCTTGTATGAGAAACAAGTTAATCAATTCTGAGTAAATATGTACGTAACTAAATCCTCCTCCAGAAAAGATAAAAGGAACTAAAAAAGGCTTGGAGTGTTTGAACCTTTCTTCTCCCCAAAAATATAGGCTTCACTCTTCATATTTACAATGCAGGAATGTAAAATCTCTAAGAAACACATAGAAAGCCTTTGTAGTAAACCAAGCCAAATCAACAAATATATCTTTATATGGGCAAAAAGGGATGTTTTAGCTTTGGGTCCTGTCCTCCCTAGTTATAAAACCTAAGTGTGTTTCTGGCTTCCCTTCATCTTTCCATCATGGGCAAGGGTAGCTGGGAGAACGTGCTTTTTCCCGGTGGCCGTTTCTGCAGGCGGCCTCGGGGTTGTGCTAGTCCAGTGCTGATGTGCTCATTCTCAGGACGACATGCTGAGGCACACGGGTGGGGACACTGCATGCCGGGCCACCCAGAATGACCTTGTTAAGCTTTGAGTAGTCAATGAGGTCGGGCCGGTGTCTGTGGATGAGGGCACAGAGTCCAAGGCCATCTTTCCAGCTTCACAGCCGTTGAGAAGAACAGGAACACATGTTAGTGGAGAGAAAGCAACAGCCAGGTTCCACACTTGGACAGACTCTGGCCTTCCTTCCATCTGACCTAATGCACGGCGGCCCCTTGCACCTTCCTCCTCACCCAACCCAATGGCCTGGTGGCCCCGTGCACGCCCTTCTTCTTCTCGGGGTCAGCTGCAGAAGTCCACCCCCTCACTCCTGTGCTTTCCACTTCCAGTGGCAGGCTCAGCCTCGCTGGGGACCTGCTCTGTTTCTGGACCCCCTCTGGTCTGTGCTGGCACAGATGGGGACAGGAGGGGAGGTGCTGTCCCTGCTGTGCCAGTCCCAGGTTTCCTCCTCTCTCCGCCAACTCTCTGTTCTGCCCCTTACTGCCACCCACCCCAGGTCTGCACAATAAACATACACAAGGACATCTACCCTGACAATGTCCAGGACACACTTCCTCCAAGAGGTCTTAGGATATTTCAAAAGCCACCATTAGCTCCCAGGTACTCTTCTTTCTTTCTCCATAAGGTTCTTTACTGTTATTTTATTTTAAAGGCAAAGGTGTGTAGGTGAGGGAGGACATACCACTAGCAGGGAGGATACTGGTTTCTAGTCTGCTTCCCCACTGACGCCAGCACTAACTGCTCCTTGGATAGTGCCAGGCTCGGAGCCTGCCAGTGACAGCAGGCTCAGTGACAGCAGGCAATGGAGTTCTGTGCCTCAAAAGGTCAGGGGCAGGAGGAGACCCTTGTGGCAGTGTCATCACTACACTGTTGAAGTGGTTGGGTCAATCTGGGGCCAAAGACGAAAAGCAGGACGGTGAGTGGAAGCCAATCTGGTACTCTGACCTTGACACTGGCAGGAAGTCCCAGCCCTTGCTGGCTCCTCTCATCTGCCAAAGAGCATGTTGTAGGGACAGGGAAGGCTCCTTTCTGCCCTCTGTACTCGCAAGGCCTGGCTCGGTGCCTGACACGCAGTAGACATCCTAACAATACTGTCTAACTAGAAGACCCTCCCCAGTTTTTCACTGTGGCTCATCCTTATACTTCCTTCCTCTCCTTATTCATGGCCAGTGGTGGGCCCATTCACAGCCATGGGTAACCCACCACCCAAAAGGTGAAAATATAACCAACTTGTCTTGTACACATAAAAATGACAAAAAAAACCTGCATGAGAAAGAAGACTGAAGAAAGTGACCAAATCATGCTTTCACATAACATCTGGATTTCATTCATCCCATTTCCTAGAATTTTTCAAACATAATTTTCCTACTTTGCTTGAATTTCAGCAGAGCAGAGGTGCCGGACAAGGGATGTTTCCATCTGCTGCAGGGCAGAGGGATCAGGAGTAGCTCGTGCGTGGACTCCGCAGACTCTGCTAGGGTCTCCCCATCTCTGAGAGGCAACAGCCCTTCCTGTCGCCTTCTTGCAACACCAGGGGAGGGCCAAAGTGAGGGGTAGTCTCACGACCCCAAATTCGGAAGGACCATTCTGGCACTGCATACCATTCACTTACAAATACAGGGCTGTTTTATCAGCATCCTGAACCTTAACGCAATGCTTTCCTGTGGGAATGCTTTTTCCAAACATCGAGAATTCCATAGCCTTAGTTTTCCTCCATACATAAATCGCCTCTCAGACAGGAGAGGAAACAGCAGTGCGAATAAACACTGTCCTCCCTGCCACCCACGGATTCCAGTGCGGATATAAGGACCTCAGGGGCCCCAGGCGCTTACCTCGTGTGGAAGTTCTGAATGTTCACATTTCTATAAGGAGCGGTTTTCCTCTGACACCAAAGCAGCAGACCTTCCTTGGCAGATGTTTCTGTAATGACAGCCAAGAAAAAGTGTCCACAGGGAAATACACACTGGCTTAGTTCACTCAACTCCTAGCTGCTTTTGAAACTGACTTCCCAGGGGGGCTGGATCATCAAATGCATCATCTCTTCTCACCACCTCCGCAAGCATATGGGAGCTGGAACCCTGATCCAGTGACTAACTTCTGATGACACTTACGGGGCTTCAAAAGCACAACTCAGGAGGCACCGTAAGTTCCAACATAAAAAAAAAAAAAATACTAAAATCAGACTTCGGGGTAATTTACTCTTTTTTTTAGTAAAAGTGATTTTTTAAAATGTGGGGTACCCTACTGTGTGAGGTGACATTGGGGACATCTATTATTCTGGACCAGAGACTTTGTGTCCAATTTGGAGGCTGGTAGGGTGTTTCAGACCTCTCCCTGCCTACAGATTCATTGCATCCTTAAAATACTAGTAAAGTATGATACTAGGCACAATCTCTGAATAAAGCCTATCTGATAGGACAATCTGATCCTTTGTATTAGCTTAATGTTTACTGTATACAATGCTGAAATATGTAAACATGAAGAAATGAAAACAGTATATAGGGTAACTCACACCAAAAAAATGTGAGTAGTTGATGACAACTATCCCGTCATTCACCTTGCTTATAATTCATACTCTTAGGTAAATGGAATTCACAGAGGCTACTACATTTCAAATATATTTCCTTTCCCAGTGATTTTATAGTATTTAAAGGGTTTTGGCTGGGTGATGTGGCTCACGCCTGTAATCCTAGCACGCTTGGAGGCCGAGGCATAAGGATTGCTTGATATCAGGAGTTCAAGAACAGCCTAAGCAAAAGTGAGAATCCATCTCTACTAAAAATAGGAAAATTTAGCTAGGCATGGTGGTGTGCGCCTGCAGTCCCAGCTATTTCAGAGGCTGGGGCAGGAGTATGGCTTGAGCCTGAGTTCGAGGTTGCAGTGAGGTGTGATAATACCACTGTACTCTATCCCTGTCTCAAAAAAAATTTTTTTTTATTGGTAAATTTCAAGTTTGGCCACTTGAGTTCTGACCAAGTTAAATAAAACCACCACCACCTGTGGTGGCCACAAAAATGTGCTGCTCAGACTTCCTGCGGCTGCTGCTGGGAGCACAGGGCAGGCAGCTGATGTGCCAACTGCAGCCTTCTGAATGCATGCACCCCTGCATTCCCATGGAGACCACACTTCTCCAGGGCTGCCCCAGCCCAAGACTGGGGTGGGGTGCAGAGCTGGGCCACGCCTGCCTGACATGGGACTCCTATCAGAACAGCTGAGACTTAAGGATTCCCCACTGGCCTGGCTGAACCAACCTCAGAACTGCACTGCACCCGAGACCCTTCTTCCCCCCTCAAGACTCCTCCCTTCCCTTTCTCAGCCCTGGTGTCAGCCAGGTGCTGTGGCCTGGACTCCTCAGACATCTCTTGCCTCCTTCCTGCCCCTTTGTCCTACACAGGCACTCCCCCCAAGAAATTTCCTGCACTTCTGTTATGAACTGAATGTTTACGTCTCTCCCCTTCCCCACAACGTTCGTATGTTGAATCCCTAAACCCTAATGTGTTAGTATTTGGAGATGGGGCCTTTGGGAGGTAATTAGGGTTAGATGAGGTCATGAGGGTGAGGCTCTCATGATGGGATTAGTGCCCTTATAAGGAGAGACACCAGAGGGCTTGCCCACTCCCATGCTCTCCCCGACCCCCAGCCCCTACTATGTGATGCCAAGCAGAAAGGCAGCTATCTACAAGGCTGGAAGGGGCCCTCACCAGAACCAGACCATGCTGGTTCCCTGATCTTGGATTTCTAGCCTCTAAAACTATGAGAAAATAAATGTCTGTTGTTTAAGCCACCTAGGCTATGATTTTTTTTTTTCCGGAGGCTGAACTTCTAATACATCTTGGTACTGCTTCTTTGAGGACTCAAACTTACATGTATCCAAACAGCTCCTCAAAGCCACTTACATAACCTAGGATTCTATTCATACTTGAATATTAACAATTTAGAAAGCCCCTATAAGCATGTGGATGCTAACTATGGGCCCTGGCCTTCCATCTTAGGAAGAGCTTAAAGTTGATTTTTTCAAATCAAAATAAGTATTTTCTAATTTCTAATTATGTATCTAATCTGTCAACAGACTGTCTTTCACTCATAATCCATATGAAACATACACACCCCAAAGTTTCATGTACTATAAGAATAACTTTAATGACTCCTATTCATGTCTCTTATCTAGAAAATTCTAATTAAGGAAAAAAACTGAAATTTCTAAGACTTTATTAAAATATTAATTGGCACAGATGCTGAAATACGAAACTCCTTATCCAGCTATTGTGCTATACACATAACTGCCTGTCCATTGTAATTAATAAGAACAAAAACATCGGGAGGAAATTATAGACTGTATTTGATAAAGTTTAAATGAATCCTGCCAGGTGAGAAGAGTAAATAGAGGTATAGTAGAGACCTACAAAATCCTAAACTGCTGCTGAAGTTGAGATTTACAAGTCATTGAGTTTCGCCTAATTTCTGTCTGGATATGTGAGAACACGAGGGTCATGAATGTCAAACAAGATTTTCTCCTTATTTATCTGGCTACTCCAATCAAAGGTGGCCTACCTCTCCCCAACTGCCAAGGCCATTTTTAGGCTTTCAACTAAAGCTTAACAAGCCCATGCCAATGACGTGCATGACTGGAATACACTACCCCCGACAGGTGCAGGGGGAACCCGAAACATGGCCATTTGGCCCAAACAGGTCCATACCCAAAACCCTGATGATAGGTGTAAAAGGCATGTGTCATTTTCATTCCATCATGAAAAACAATATGATGCCCCCAGAAGGCCCCATCTACTTACACCTGGACTGTCTTCAACAACAGATATATTAATCTCTCATTTTTTTTCTTGGAAGAGGCCCATTATTTTGTGAAGGAAACAGGCTCCTCCAAGAATTTGGTTTTAAACAATGTCTTTTTCTACATAAAGTATATATCATTAAAACAAATAAAGATGATTTTTCTGGAGCCTTACAGAAATCAAGTAAGGTTACTATAAAATTACTCCATAAAACTAAAACAAATAAAAATATAAGTTAGCAAACTAACATTACCTACTGTGTGGGACACTGAAGAATGTTGGCTTGCAGAGAGTTAGGTACATTGCTAATGAAATTACCACTTTTTTTTGAGACAGAGTCTTGCTCTGTTGCCTAGGCTTGAGTGCCTAGCTAACAGCAACCTCAAACCCGTGGGCTCAAGCAATCCTCCGGCCTCAGCCTTCTGAGTAGCTGGGACTACAGGCAAGCATCACCATTCCCAGCTCAATTTTTCTATTTTTAGTTGTCCAGCTAATTTCTATTTTTAGTAGAAATGGGGTCTTGCTCTAGCTCAGGCTGGTCTCAAACTCCTGACCTCAAGTGATCCTCGCACCTTGGCCTCCCAGAGTGTTAGGATTACAGGCATGAACCACCATGTCCAGCCAGAAATTACTTTTTAATGTTTACTTTCTTAATCTTCTGAGGAACAGATTAACATATCCCCTTATTGTGACATTTTACAAAATACTGTGATTTGACTATCTTATACTAGGCCTGTTAATAATTTGGGAGAAACTCTAATGGATAATACATTCATAGTTATACTTGAAATAGAATTAAGTTTTAAATTCATATTATCACTAATTTAAAATTTGTAACCAATCATAAAAAACCTGAGGTCAAGTTCACCTCTGTAATATTCGTAGAAAAAGGATTTGTCAGTCCAGCTAAATGTAACAATGTGAACAAGATTTTTTAAAATAGTATTTGTTCTTTAAATTGAATTTGACTGTTTAAATATTTAAGTTTAGACATATATAAAAACAAAATTATTACAAATTACTATTTTTTAATAAAGCAGGAACTTTTAGGAAGCATCTTATTCTTTTCAATAGCATAAAGGAACATACTTTAATATAACTACGTTGTGCAAAAGCTCTCAAATTCAGACTATTTATTAATTCAAACTGTCATTCTTGAGCCTGAATTATTGAGGTTTTAATGTCATCATATCTTTTAGTTTGATTTTCAGATGACATTAATGAGTCTTCGGTGCTAGAATAATCTAAGTGAATTAGAAGCTCCTTAAGGGCAAGTCCCGCAGGCTTCAATTCATGTCACCTGGCATAGCAGAGTAGGCAAAGTTTCTTGCTTGATGAATAACTAAAATCACTTAAAAAGATCAGAGTCAGAGGGTACTCTGGCCTGGGCAGAATTATAAATGATAGCCCTACCCATCACCATTGGGGTGCCTGGTTACCTGTTAGGTTACAAAGGAGAGGCCAACTAGTTGGACAATTCACACTGCCTTAAACCTATTCTGCAGTTAAACATTTTGTGATCTGAAGGCTAAATAGGCAAAGTTCTAATTTTAAGAATGTCAATTTGACACTTTTCAACAGTGCTGAATTTATCAAAATATTTGGGAGTGCAGTGGGCGTGAAAGACTAAAGATTTTTATCTTCAGTGGCAGTGCCAAGGATTAAGATTCTATTACAATGATGAAACAGTTGTTAGGCTGAGAGACACAGTGGCAATTGAGATTTTGTGAAGAAAAGAAGAAGAAGAACAAGAACAAGAAGAAGAAAGAAGAAGAAAAGAAGAAAAAGGAAGGGAGGGAGGTAAATAAATTAATTTGTGTTGTAACAGATTATTTTTTTGTACCTGGAGGAAAAAAAAAATGTTTCAGTTGTGAGCATAAAGAACTCTGCATAGCTGTGAATTTACTAGTATAACAAGCAATCCAGAAGCTCAACAAATGCTCATTTTAAAAAGTGACTTCTATTCTGAATATGTGCTCATCTTTTCCAAAATGATTCCACCCCCATGAATGAAACAGTGTTGCCAGGGTCTTTTCCTGCACGAATATAAAATTGATCAAAACCCAACTTACAGGCCTTTCATTCAATCGTGTTAAGTGTTCAACTTGATAATATCATATTCAAATTTTAATTTACAAGTTCAATTTTCAAATCATACAATTAGACTTCTAACCATATCTTTTACCTTCAACTGAAATATCCTGAATAGCAAAGCGAAGGATGATGGTCCAGATCATACCCAGGGTCATTTTCACATTGCCATCGACAATTTCTGTAGGTTAAGAAAACAACAAATCAATGTAAAGGTAAAATAATCAGCATGTAACTTTTTCCTCAATGTATAAATTTTGACTTCAGAGCTATTGGGAAATATACATATGGAAAGACTAGTTTATGTTTTTATAAGCATCACAGTGTGTCTGGTTATAAATATGGTATTCATAACCAAATGTCTTCAGTTTAAAATGAATTCTGAGTTAATAATAAGCACAAATCTTGCATATGTATTATCACTGAGAACCACCCAGGAGTTTCCAAAGTTTTAAGACTATATGAGATAAGGTTTTTTTTTTTTTTTTTTTTTTAATGAGCTAAGGTTTTAAATAATCAAATAAAGAGAACACAGTCTCATCTTTATCCTGATCCTTCTTACAGCACTCCCCAGCTGGCAGGTAGCAGGACTCAGCATAATGAGATGCAGGTAGTTTCAGCTCCTACACACCTCACCAGATTCCCAAATTTGCCACAGAGAACAAAGAAGCCACTACCTTCCTATTAATTAGTTCTTATTAAGAGTCACTGGCATGTATAAGTTCTTTCTCCTTCCTCTAATTGGTCTGAAGAAGACAGTGTTATATGAGAATCTATTCATTTCAAATAACCTCTAGAGCTTGGTCTCCCACTCACGGTACCATTTGTTCTCATTTCCGCCCACGCAGCACCTAGCAGAGAGCCAGACACAAGGCGGGCATGGTAAAAGGTGGAAGGGAAGCAGGAAGGGGAGAACTCAAGTAACAGGCTGCACCTCTGCTGTGAGGTCAGAGTGGCAGACAGGGTTACCCCATCACACCTCTTACCTTCCGCCCCGATGGACACCAGTTTCACCCCTTTGCTGGCTATGTAATCCAAAGCTTTGTTGACATTAGCAATTTTATGGAACCGCATTTTTCCTCGGTCAGGTTTGGGCAGCCTTTCCCCTGATGGGTGAAAAGAGAATAGTGCAATCATAGAGAGAGTGACCCCTTGATGAGGAATCGAGATGCGAAAGTTCAGAGTCCATGTTTTCCTTACATGGAAATGGTTATGTCACTGTTTCTAACGTGTGCCTGGTTTCCCTAAATCACAGTAAAGGGGGAACACTAACCTAAAGAAACCTCGCAGGATCAAATGGATCATCAGGCAACCATACTATTAAGGCCATATGCTTTTCAGATCTGCAGGGAGAGTCCAGTTTGGCCCACAACCCAACTTACACATGAGTAAACAGAGAAGCTGGTTAATGTCCCTGAAGCATTCGGAGTTGCTGGCTAGCTATTGGAGGAAATCAGGATGCCTAGTTCAAACCCCAGGGGTGGCTTCCAGGGCTTGTCTTTGACATCTGATTATGAAGATATATGCATCATGGGCAGTTCTCCCCTCACCCCTGCCAGTCACACTCCTGCAAAGCTGATCCATTCTCTGGTCCAAAGTCTAAATCAGCCAACTGAAATTCAGGGCAAATTATAACCTCACTGGGATTTTTTTTTTTTTTTTTTTTTTGAGACAGAGTCTCACTTTGTTGCCCAGGCTAGGATGAGTGCCCTGGCATCAGCCTAGCTCACAGCAACCTCAATCTCCTAGGCTCAAGTGATCCTCCTGCCTCAGCCTCTCAAGTAGCTGGGACTACAGGCATGCGCCACCATGCCCAGCTAATTTTTTGTATATATATTTTTAGTTGGTCAATTAGTTTCTTTCGATTTTTTAAGTAGAGATGGGGTCTCGCTCAGGCTGGTTTCAAACTCCTGACCTCGAGCAATCTACCCGCCTCGGCCTCCCAGAGTGCTAGGATTACAGGTGTGAGCCACCACGCCCAGCCCCTCACTGGGATTTTAATTTGTATGTTCAGAGTTAATGCCAGCATTCTGGAACACACACTAATGGGACCAGGAGTAGAGAGGGCAGCATGGTGGGCAGTCAAGTAAATGTCATTTTTTTCTTCTCTTATTTTGTTTTGAGGTAGGTGGTATAAACATTATTTTAATAAGTCAATTTTAAACAGAATTCACTCCTTCTTTAGAACAGAAAAATAACTCCAGGCAGATTGCTCTCTGGAAAGGTTTTCTTTGCCAATAATACCATGTTCTCGCCTAGCCAAGTTCAAAGGGAACTTCTGATGCAGTCATCTTCAAACAGATGCTTACCTACTGATTATACATAAAAATACAGGACTGGGGTATATTAATACCGACCTGAGATGACTTCCAAAAGCAGCATGAGTTTAAGGCCATTCCTGAAGTCTTCCTCGATGTTCTCAATCTGGGTGCCAGCTTTCCTTAGGTGGGAATTACACCAGGCAGTGAAGGTCTGCAATGAAAACCAAATACCACTTAGCACAGGCCCATTAGTGGTCAGGCCCCCTCTGCACGGACAACACTCAACACCTTACACATTGGAGGAGTCTATGGGGCTGAGGCTTCTTGGGTCTTCTAGAGAATGCAGAATTTGATAGAAAGGGGAATTGGTAACCCAAAGACAATAATTTTGTAAAATTTCCTCTTTTGAGACAAAAACTCATTTATTTGATATTCCAACCTGAAGAATTTTTGCCTTCAGTTTTAAAAGGTACCATGTTTATACCCAGGCCGTCACCTTCTGAAAACCTCTTACTTTGTAGAAAAGATAGACTGGATTAGGATGTGCTTATTCCCTTCCTACAACGAAAATATGCTTGTTTGCAGAATGGATGAATAAATAATGTTTAGAGAATGTTCAAAATGTCTTACTGTAGAGCAAAGGATGGGAGATATTATGTAGCAGAAAGGAGGAGAGAGGAGGGACCCATAACCATTAATTATCTACAACTACTTGATATTGGATGAACAATAGTTTTAAGCTAGCAACTAAATCAATTAAACAAATTTGCAGTGTAGTCAATTATTTAAAAAATAGTAACAATTACAATAACCTCCCACTAGCATATTCCAGGTCCTGGACTGGATCCTGGATTTTAAAGATGACTAGATACAGCCCTGCCCTGAAAGGGCTCACAGTTCAGTCATGTTAACAAATTACTAGGACAATCTTCAGCAGAAAATGGACCATATATTAAGTGGCATCCACACTCATTCTGTTTATTTTTCAAGCTTCTTTTAACTCGGCTTCCACTTGTGTGCTATTTCCTGCCAAAACCAGATTAGAAATCCTTCTGGCAGCTGTTGGCTAAGAATGCAAACTGTCCCCTCCTCTTACAACAGCTGCTGGGCTCAGAACAAAGTGCCTGGTACGTCAAACTGGGGGGTAGGGGACAGGCAAGGAGGGTTTGTGTTCGAGATGAGAGAAAAATCAACCTACCAAGAGTGGGCTGCTTTCAAGTAAGACCACAAAAAGACAAAGTGGCCATAAAAATGATTTTCCTGAGGAAGAAAGACGATTTTCAAATCTAATAGTCCCTCATTTCAAGAAATATGTGAATGGCATTAAATTCAAGAACAAAAAGAAAATGTAGGCATTTTCTTGGATTTATAGCAATAAATTTTATCCAGAGAGCCTAAACTATAATAATAATAATTATTTCTTCTAAAACAAATCTAAATCTTTAGTTAGGTCTAAACAGAAGAGATATACTTTAGATCTATGTGCTCAATGTGGTAGGCCCTAGCCATAGAGGCTTTTTTTTTTTTTTTTTTTTTTTTTTTTTTTGAGACAGAGTCTCACTTTGTTGTCCAGGCTAGAGTGAGTGCCGTGGCGTTAGCCTGGCTCACAGCAACCTCAATCTCCGGGGCTCAGCGATCCTACTGCCTCAGCCTCCCGAGTAGCTGGGACTACAGGCATGCGCCACCATGCCCGGCTAATTTTTTGTATATATATTTTTAGTTGGTCAATTAATTTATTTCTATTTTTGGTAGAGACGGGGTCTCGCTCAGGCTGGTTTTGAACTCCTGACCTTGAGCAATCCGCCCGCCTCGGCCTCCCAAAGTGCTAGGATTACAGGCGTGAGCCACCACGCCCGGCCCATAGAGGCTTTTTAAACTTAAAATGAAATTAAATTAAAAATTTAGCTCCTCAGTTGTACAAGTCATTTTTCAAGTGTTCAAAAGCCACATGTGGTTAGCGACTACTGTACTGGATGGTGCAGATTTACAACATTCCCATGATAACAGACAGTTCTGTTGGATAGCACTACTCTAGATAATTGGGTTTTTTGTTTTGTTTTTGGAGACAGAGTCTCCCTCTGTCACCCAGCCTAGAGTGTAACAGTGTCATCATAGCTCACTGCAACCTCAAATTCCTAGGCTCAAGTGATCCTCCTGCCTCAGCCTCCCGAGTAGCTGGGACTACAGGCACAAGCCACTATGCCCAGCTGATTTTTCTATTTTTAGTAGAGACGGAGGTCTCGCTCTTGCTTAGGCTGGTCTCAAACTCCTGGCCTCAAGCAATCCTCCTCGGTTTCATCTCAGCCTCCCAGAGTGCTAGGATTGCAGGCATGAACCACTGCACCCAGACACTTTTGTTTTTTAAAGGTTAAGATTATTGTAATAATACATTATATATATATATATATATATATATATATATATTTTGAGACAGAGTCTCGCTTTGTTGCCCAGGCTAGAGTGAGTGCCGTGGCATCAGCCTAGCTCACAGCGACCTCAAACTCCTGGGCTCAAGCAATCCTGATGCCTCAGCCTCCCGAGTAGCTGAGACTACAGGCATGCGCCACCATGCCCAGCTTATTTTTTCTCTATATATTAGTTGGCCAATTAATTTCTTTCTCTTTATAGTAGAGACGGGGTCTCGCTCTTGCTCAGGCTGGTTTCAAACTCCTGACCTTGAGCAATCCGTCTTCCTCGGCCTCCCAGAATGCTAGGATTACAGGTGTGAGCCACCACGCCTGGCCATAATAATACATTATTTATATATTTAAATGTTAACTCTGTGTGTTTACTTTTTGAATGGGTAACAGATTTCCTTGGTTCCAAATTCAAGTGGTACAAAGGATATAAAGGAAAAAGCTTTCCTCTCACCCTTGTTCCCTAGCAACCCAGTGCCATGTTCCACAGGGAACAAAGATATCAGTCTCTTGTGTATCTCTTCAGTGATATCTATGCATACCTAAAACTTGCAGACATATATATCTTTTTTAACACAAATCATATTATACACATTGTTCTTCACCTTGTTTTTTTTTTTACCCACTTAAAAGATATAACCTAGAGGTCATTCCATATCAGTACAGATCATTCCTTTTTATGGCTGCATAGTATTCCACTGTATTGTATACACCATACTTTATGTAACTAGCTCCCTATGGATGAACATTTAGGTTGTTTCCAGATAATTAATTTCTTACAGTAAAAAATATCCCAGGCCCCATCTTCAGCAGGTAAAACTACTTTAAAGGATTTTTTTTAACTGACAGTATTGAGACTAATCATATACCTGATCTTTTGGGAAAGGCACAAGAGAATAGCAGGTTGTGATTTTTTTTAAAAAAGTAATTGACAAAGAGAAAATATAATAATATAAATATTTATAAGGTATTTTTTTATTTAAGTTCTACTTAAAAATGAGCAAATATTGCTGGTGCAAGTCACCATATCTTATTATAGCATTATTTAAGTTTCTTCATAATAAAAGTATCAGAAGCACTTTTGGATATAACCCCAAAAGCTGCTCATGAAATCAATGTAAGCTTCCTGTCCCCCACTGTGGAATACTGTGAAAGTCTGTTTGATACTACATTTTTATAGGTATACATACAATGAAGGTAATTTACCATAGGTAATTATTTAGTTGTGCAAATTCAGAGAAGGAAATTAATCTAAAAGGTCAATTTACTTAGTTGAGTTAAGCCTAATGAAGTTTTCCTGTCTTTAATGAGTACTGCTAAAAGCCAACAAAGGTGGTAACTAACCAACTTAAATGTGGAAAAAAGCCTCCAACTGTTCTGTGCTAATAGCTTGCAAAGAGGCCAGTGCACTCTGAAAACGAGTTTTAAGCTTCATTAGAATGTTAAATTTTTATTCTATTTCCTGTGTTAATTACCACGGCCTAGGGAGACTATTCCTACACATTTCCCATCACCTCTGTTTCTGTGAAAAGCCTGTTGTTAATCATGCAAGAGATAAAAACAACAGCAACAACAAAACCCCACACATGTGACCTGAAGACATCTTTGTGAACTTTCTTGCTATCTGAATTGTAATGTGCATCTAAAAGATCCATGAAAACTAAACCTTGAAGAAGCAAATGAGAAGGTAGGTCCACATGATTCTGGAGGCAGGCTCCTTGGTTCAAACCAGATTACCAAGCCAGAAGCCTTTTCTTAAGGGAAATGCTCTTCTATTGAACCAGACACAGACCATTGAGGAAAGAGGCCAGCGTCTCCCCAACCCATAGCTCAACCAGACGTCGCACACATGAGATCCCCATACCTCCTCTTTTGCTTCCAACTCAAACCCTTCCTCTTCCTCTCTCCTAGAAAAAAGCTTATTCTCCGTTCCTCTGCACCTACCCATAAATACAAATGCTTTTAGCATCTTGAAAATGGGCACATCAAAAAGTTTCAGAGCCATACAAAGAGGACCAAGATGGAAAACTACAAAACCATCTATCCCCAGGAAAGAAAGACAGATGTTTCTAGTCTTTATCAACTGCCAAAGAAGTTAATACAATGCTAAGGGAAACAGTGTTCAAGTCAGAGAGAGAAAAGGTGGAAATGCAGTAGAAGACATTATCACGACATCTATGCATGTATGTATGTATATGTATATGTATGTGTGTGTGTGTGTATGTGTGTTTATGTATGCTTTCACGCAATAAGACTGAAGGATACTTGAAACTATCAGCTGTCCCTGCCTTTGTTATATTCCTGAACATGAGAGGCTCAGAAAATGTTCCTCAACCTCAAAACATGGTGGTTGAGAAAAATATCAGTTGAAAGAATTTCCCAGGAAATTCTTGCTGTTTACAAGAATTGTTAACCCCATTCGGTGGTGGGAGTCTTTTGTGAAGGACTTACTAGCAAAGTCCCTACCTAGTCCATGGGAACTGTAAAACTATTGCCTTTCTCAGTGAAATTATATAACAGGACAATCAGCACAATGTGTTTAACAGCAAAAAAGTACTTATGTCCTTACTGAATTGTTGAGATAAGCTTGTGATATTCAACTGCTATGCTTCTGTGTTTAGTTTAAGTTAATTAAGCCCATAGGCATATCAACCTACATTGTTGACTATTCCATAGGTTGAAGGTAGAAAAGGGTTTTTATTCAAAATGGGCTAAATCTGTTATATTTATATTGTTCCTCTTTGACCACACATGTGCACAATTCTACCTGGAAAAGATTATTATTTGGGTACAC